AGCCACTGGAATCTTCTGTGCTGCTATAATTATGTTCTGTTTTCATTTTTCCAGTTTTTATGGTTATGCAGATATTGAATACAGGAAGATTTACTTTTTATTATGTCCTTTAAGATCATATTTGAATTTGTTGGACTTTGACTTAATCAAAATGGCTTCACAAGAGTAAGAACTTTGCAGTGAGCATTTAGGTAATGTGAAATCATTTTATTTTTTACAAATCTTTCTGAACCTTTGCTGCTTCCAGTGCACAGTTGGCAAGAATGGGTACTTTCTCTGAGATGTTCAAAGAGAAGGTATTTAGAATTCTCAATGGATCTCTGTAGCAACATTAGTAAAGTTAAACTGAGTTCTTAAAGGGCAAGACCATCTCTTACCAATCCGTGTTTTCAGGATAAAGCATATACATATATGTGTGTGCACGCACATGTGCACGTGCATGTATACATGCATATGTTAATGCTTAATAAAACTATTTCTTGAATGGATGGAGAAAATGGAACATTCTAGAATGTTCCATTCTAGATGTATAGGTCTTCATTAAACTAAGCTTCACTTTGTTAAACTTGTTTTTCATGCTTGTAATTTTTGCTTAGTCATTTAATTATGTATTTTTATTTCTTAACTGATTTGATTTTTTGTGGTGTTATGATTGAACCTAGGACCTTCCAAATTCTAAGCAAGAACTCTATCAGTGAGCTACATCTCCAGCCCTTGTTTACTTGGGTCGGGGTCTTGCTACATAGGCCAGGTTGGCCTCAAACTTGTAATCCTCCTGCTTCCACTTCCTAAGTGCTGGGATTATAGGCATGCATCACCATCCCTGGCTCAAAGGATATATTTTTTAAAGACTTGATTTCAAGTTAAGATAACTTAAAGGGTATGCGTAAGAATTAGATGGAAATATGGAAAAAAAAGATAATTTTATTTTTATATGGTGGGATTCTGGGTTTGAAATTTTAAAAATTTTTTTTGTGTCAATAGATTGGTACATTAATAATGCTAAAAGGAAAAGATGAGGTTACATTAATGTCATTAATGATTCTATTTCATGGAACCTTGTAACACTTAAATGTTTGCTTATTTATTCATTTATTTGTTCAACAAGCATTTCTTTAGCAATTTAAACCTACCAGAAATAATGAGAGATTTGTTGGACTAGGAAGTTCCATATTATAAAGATCAATAAGTATGGTAAGTGCTATATTTTATTGATTTAAGGAGCATACTTTTCCTCATTTTAACATCTCTAAAATTTGAACAAATCATATAATTGAGAGTGCCTCTTAGTTAAAATTGGCTGTGTTTTCTCTTTCATGGCTCATAAAATAACAGTGTCTTACAATTGAGGATGCCTTAAATTTGTTGGAATATAGTACATTTCTAAGTAATCATTCAATTTTGAGATCTCAAGGTAAGAACCACATGTTATTCATCTTGGCATTTCTCTAACACTAGGGAATTTTACTAAATAATCTTATGCTCATCAGCAAAGAAGCATCTCTCTCAAATTCTTATACTGAAGCTTAAGTCCTTGTATTCTATTAATGTAGAGTGCTTTTAAAATATATTATATAAAATGTTATGACAATACAGTCACCAGTCTTCCTTTCATTGAGTAGCTTAAACCTTATTGACATTTTAGTTACTCCTTTTTTTATAGTTTATAACTTCCTTTCAGAAATTACAGTATATCTTACTATTAGGAATTCTCAGATTGAATTTCCCTTCTCATTTGGAGAAGGTTGGAATGTGTACTTGACTGACTAGGATTTGGTTTTAGATAAACTGGTAATAATGCAGCTGGTTATCTTTCGTAATAGAATGGATAGTTGTAGTCCATGAATTACCTCCTAATTTTTTGTTATTTTATGAGAGATGTCAATATGTAGCAAAGTCACACTGGTTTACTTTTGCTTTTACTTTGCGTGTGTGTGTGTGTGTGTGTGGTCTCACATTGAACTCAGGGCCTCACATATGCTAGGAAAGCACTCTACCACTTGAGCCATGCTACAGCTCACTGGTTTGCATTTTAAAGCTTTATGTTTCCTCTTCAGAGGAGGTAGCAATAAATACTGAAAATACACACACACACACACACACACACACACACACACGAATCGAAAGACCGAATAAGCTACCAGCTGGGTAATTGACCTCTGAGCAGTAAAAAATTGCCCATGATTTCATGCATTGCTATTGAGCATTGTTTAGATTTAATTTTTGTGTGCTACGATTGAATTCAAGTTTGAGGTGAAATGCAGTGTATCTCATCTCTAAACTCTGAACAATTCAGTCATCTCTCATTGTGAGACTCAAACATGGTAAAACAGTAATAAGTTAAAAATCAGGGTTAGAAAAAAGTGTTTCAAACCTGCAGCATTCTAAGTAGAAGAAAAGCAATCGTGTGAGTTTGAAGAATCAATAGAAATTGATGTTTTATATGCAAGTAAACCTAAGACCTGAGTCCTGCCCCCTACTTCGCTATACAAATTAAAAAAGTCAATAGGCACAGAAACATAAGCACTGGTGGCTCACCTCTGTAATCATACCTATAATCCTAGCTACTTGGGAAGCTAAGATCAGGAAGATTGAGGATTGAGGCTGGCCCAGGCAAAGGTTTGGAGAGACAGTCATCTCCAAAATAACCACAGAAAAATGGGCTAGAGGTGTGGCTTGTGAGGCAGAGGGCCTGCTTTTCAAGCGTGAATCCCGGCAAACCCCAGTCCCACCAAGAAAAGAACATTGCTTCTGGAAAGCCACTACTTTTGAAAATGATTGTATTCTAGTTCAGAAAATGTATGTACTTGCACATGAGAAATTTTATTTTTTAATTTAAAACAATCATTTTCCTTTTAATCTCCAATCTTTTATCTCTTACATTTTGAAATAAGTGTTAGGCATGGATTTAAAATTAACTCTTTGTGTGGCTTCTACCTAGTTAAGAAGTCTTAAAGCTTCTTTCTACTAAAAAGATAGCTAGTGCTTTATTTAAAAATGAACAGTCTCCATTTGTCTGTGTTTGACATATTTTCCATTTCCTGAGTAATAGGGTTTTGAAATGAGAATTGAGTGTGGGACTTATCCAAGCCTATGAAGATAGCAGTTAGGAAACTTGGAACCTGAACATGAGAAATTTGAACTTGAAGTCAGCTTGGAGGGTTAAGGGAGTTGCTATATGACCAGATCTCATGTAGAGGTATCCATTAGAACAGATGCTTTCAGAGGAATGAAATGTTCCCGTGTTTCAGTTCTGTCCTTTTTACCCAGTGTTACATGTCTGGCCAACAGTGTTTGCTTCAGTGAAGACATCCAAAGCATGCCATGATTTTGTGACACAGAGGAGTAGCACAAATTTTCTAAATGCCATAGGTGGTAGTGGAACATCATTTATTAATGGTGGGTAACAATTAGGGTCTAGTTGTGTGCAGTTCATAGCTGGCTCTTTTTCTCTTATTGAAAAAACTCTGAATTTAAGTGGATAGAAGTGGTATTATGTTGACAACTTTGAACTGATTGAATCATTGCAGTTCATTTACAAACTTATGTACTGCATTATTAATATAAGTTATTTGATATGCTTACAATTTCATTCTTGTGTACTGTCTTTGGTTATTGCTTGAGTATAGTTCTTTATTGGTTTTATTATACTGTCATCACTGTGATGAATAATTCTCTTTGACAAATTATTTCCTTGATTATGTTTGTGTCAAGGATATCTTTTACTGTACAGATTATACAGTTTGTTTCTGTACGTGGAAAGAATGGAAGGTGAAGAGGAGAGATAAGCTATAGCAAAGTTTATTACAGCTCTTTTATCATGGCATGATTCAAACTTTCCTTTACCTCTTTGCATTTCAAGCATTTTCACTAAAAATTACCTCCAAAGTCTACAAACCTCCCAAACCAACAACACAACGTGTGCAGAAAAACTAGGAGGCACAATGAGCAAAGAAGAGGTCCTGACTTTAAATTGTAGAGTTAAAATATCTTTATAGAGCTGGTGGAGTGGCTCAAGTGGTACAGTGCCTGCCAAGCAAACATGAGGCCCTGAGTTCAAACCCCAATACTGCCAAAAAAAAGAAGAGAAAGAAAATGTCTTTATGAGAAAATAATAGAAATAAATGAAACGATTCCATTCCATCCCTGGCTTCTCACTTCCTGTCAGCAAGGTCACTCCTCAACTTGGTTTCATTTAATTTCTCAGACATTTCTTTATTATTTTTATACTTTTATTAGCATAGATTAATTTTATAAGACAGTTTCACTGTGACATTTACATGTGTGCTTACAATGTACCTTAATTAGACTCACCCCCTTCATCTTTCTCCTTATCCTCCCTCCTGTGGCTTTTTCGAACAATTTCAGCAGGTTTCATTTTTCTATTTTATACTTGTATACAAAATACATAATTCATCCTCCTTCACCCTCTCTGTTTATATCAGAAATTTCTTAAAATAAAAAAAATTTCTTAAAATCAGAATTTTGACACAAGGAAGGATTTTTAATATCATCTATGTATAGCCCTCATTTTTGCATTTCTAGCATGTTATTCTTTGTAGCCCTGTAAATATATTATTTATTTTGGATCCTTCATACCTGGCACAGAAGTTTTTGTTTTTTTTGGGTGAGTCTGGAGTTTGAACTCAGGGCTTCTTTCTTGCAAAGTAGACCCTTAGAAAACAGGTGCTCTAGTCCATCTTGCTCTGGTTATTTTGGAAGTGGGTATGTCAAGAACTATTTGTGCAGGCTGGCCTTGAACTGCAAACCTCCCCAGCTCAGCCTCCCAAGTAGCTAGGATTGTATCCCTGAGCCATCAGCACCCAACTTGGCTCAGAATTTAAAAGGTATCTTATCTTGTGTTTGTTAAATTAAAGAACCTAATCTTCATTGATGTTAGTAAGTCAAAATACCACTAATAAGACCTGATGGTTCTTAGGTAGTTTTGGCAATTAAATGTCATCAGTGATTTTCTTTCTTAACCTTTTGTCTCTCACCAGATTTGCATCTGCTGGTGATGATGGAATTATAGTTGTGTGGAATGCCCAGGTGTGTATTGATGATATGTGGATTGTGTAATAATGTATGACAACATAGTTGAGAATTCATTAATAAATATTATATGGCAGTAATTATAAATATATATGGGGGTATATTGTAAATTTAGTATAAATATTATATGGGGGCATATTTAAAATCATGTAAGACTAATACTTGAAAAGGGCTACTTGGATAAATTCATTTAAAATGGACACCAGTATTTCATAGTGAAGAAGAAAAAGTTTATTAAGATGTTTTTCCCAAGAAACAAATGTCATTTTATAAAAAAATGTAATGTTCTTGAACAGAATTTAGGTAATCAGCAACTGTATACTGACATCCAAAGTAAATCAAGTGTTGAGTGTTGTGAGAGCTGCAATTTTTCCTTTGAACACTGTATGATAGCATAATACAATAGTTTTCCCATCTTTGACTTTAAAAGTAATATAACAAAAGGTTTATATATTTTTCAAAAATATTTAAGGTTTCAAATTTCTGCAGGGCCTCTCTTCCTGATCCCTTTGTTTCTCAAGTTCTTCTCTTAGGTGTTTTTCTTCATTGTTTCCTTACTTTGGATTGCTGTCTGGCCTGTCAGACCTTCATTTTTCAATGGTTTTGCCTTTGATTAAAGCAATTCTTTAACATTGCAGTCCCCTTAGTATCCACAGGGGATTGATTCCAGTCTTTCTGCCCCATACCCAAATCTGTGGATGCTCAAGCCTCTCATATGAAATGGTAGAGTATTTGCATCTAGCCTACACACTTCCTCCCATACACTTTAAATTATCTCTGATTTGCAAAGAATACCTAATACAATGTAAATGCTGTATAAATACTTGTTACACTGCGTTTAGGGAATAATGATGAAGGAAAAAGTATGTACATGTTCAGTACAGACACAAGTTTTAATTGATTAACTTTTTTTTTTTAACTTATTTTGAGGCATGGTCTCACTGTGTACCCCAGCCTGATGCTGAACTCATGATCTTCTTGCCTCAGCCTCCTGAGTGTTAGGATTGTAGGCAAGCACCACCACACCCAGCCTCAGAAAAAAAAATTTTTGGTGGTGGTACTGGGTTTAAACTCAGGGCCTCATGTTTGCTAGGCAGATGTTCTACTACTTGAGCCATGACCTCAGCCCTTTCTTTTAGTTATTTTTAAGTAGAGCCTCAAGATTTTTGCCTAGGGCCAGCATCAGACTGCAGTCTTCCTACCTATGACTCCTGTGCAACTGGAATCACAGGTGGTGGCCTCATGCCTGGCTTATTGGTTGAGGTGGTGTCTTGCTAACTTTTGCCCAGGCTAACCTCAGCCATAATCTTCCTGATCTCTGAGGCTTGAGCCCCCGCAACTGGCCCAACACTTTTTTTTTTTTTCAAAAAAATATTTTCAATCTGAGATTGGTTGAATACATGGACACAGAACCAGTGGCTGCAGAGGACTAACTGTTCTTTACCACATTCATGAGTTCTGCAACCTTGGAAAGGTTTGAAATTTATATTTCGTTTTTGTGTGTTTATACTTTGGAAATCAGTAGAGACTGATGGATGAACACATTGAGTGGGTGAGAGGACATGTTGGTGTTCAGCAGACATGGAGCGGAGACTAGCTTGTAAGTGGTTGGTCAGGTACTACATACATACTTTGTTATACTTTGACTTGTAGTCCTTCCACAACCGATCACCATAGAGAATTCAGTACAAACACTTGGATAATAAGGACTCCCTAGTTTTTCTGCAGATTAAATTGATGATGTTCTTATTATATAATTTACAATATTCTTAAAAACATAGGAAAGAATATTCCTTTGTGAATATATGGTAAATTAGCATTTTAGTTAGAAATTAATCAAAATTATTTATGGCTATTCTTCCCATGCTTGTTTAGATTTTATTTGATTGCTTAACTAAAATTTTTAGTCCTGAATAAGTAATTCAAAATGGAATATATGTGTATTTTCCACATGGTGATTCTTATTGTTTAAGATTGTTTAAATTGTGAAAGAGTTTATTAACATTCTTACTGGTATGTCAGACAGGAGAAAAACTTATGGAACTCAATGGACACACACAAAAGATAACAGCTGCTATTGCATTTCCTTCCTTGGAATCTTGTGAAGAAAAAAATCAGCTCATCTTGACAGCCTCTGCCGATCGAACAGTTATTATATCCTTAAATCTGGATGAAAGTGAAATAGCCACAGGGACCCCCACAACATACATTAGTTTTAGCCTCTAGGGACTTGTCTGTGCATTCTTGTTGTAGCAAAAATGATCTTGTTCTAGTCTTCATAAGACATTTCTTAAAAGTATTAGGCATCTGAAAAGTATTAGACTGGAAATAGCAGGTTAAGGTTTGTATGGATAGGACCTCATAACTAATGCTGTCTTTCCAGAGTCACTGTTCTATTAAGTTCTGTAAAATGGAGGAAATGGGAGTACCTGGGCTTAAAAATACTTACTGTATATTCTTAATTTGCTTTATAATTTAGGGAAACAAAGATAAGTTGTACTGGAGAATAATTCACGTCTTTTCCCTCTCATTTTACAGCAAAAGAACCTCAATGGTCCCAATCCATGAGACTCTTTTAGAGCTTCTGAGTCAGCAGAAAAGTGAATTACTCTCTGCTCAGTATTTAATATTAATATTCAGTACTCAAAAACAGTTTTACAAAAGTAAAGTAACTTTTCCTATACTTTTAGGTAAAAAGTTAAGCTGTAACAGCAGTGGTAAAGTTTTATAAAGTGCTTGTGTGTGCTATACATTGTATTTTACATATATTGACCCCTTTAACCCTTGAAATATCCCTTTCAAGTAGATATTTTTTGTCATTATCATTTACAGATGAGAAAGTAGAGGCACAGATATGTTAAGTAACTTCCCCAAGGCGCACAGCCAGTGGAGTACAGAACTGGCATGCCTTCTGATTACAAAGTCATAGGTCTGAAACTCTATGTGACATTGCCTTCACAAAATACTTTCTGTAAACAAATTCAGCCCTTGAATATCAGTATGAAGAATTGAATTTGTGAAGCCCATAGTCAACCATTACGGATAATTATAATCTTTCATTAGTTTTTTAAAAAGTTGTCAGATTCAGATTGGCTTTAAAAGGTTTATGCTTATTTGAATGTTCTATTTAAATGGCTTCAAACACCATGTTTTGAAGTAAGCCCAAAGGAGTAACTATTTCTGAGGCTTCATAGACCAGGACTTAAATTTATAACACATTTTAAATAAGTTCATCAGCTGAAGTGGTTTCTAGATAGATTGCCTATGGGTGAGACAATTTCAAGAAATCATTTATATATATATCATAAAATAATTATATTCTATTATATGTAATGTATTCTATATACACTATATATTTTGAACATGTTAAGAGAAACCTCTCATTTTAAATACACATGCAGGTAACAGAAACACGTTGTTAGTCTTTGTATCAGGATAGCAGTATCAAATCATTGCAGGGGCTTTCAGGAAATATTAATTAATAGATATAATTTGTAGTATAAATAATTTATTTTCATGCTTATTAAATCAGGGTGGACTGCTCAGGAGAAGCAGTTTAAACAGTTGCAATATTTAATGCCTGTAAAGATTCAGTACTTCAGACCACTTGTTCGTTGGCACTTTTACAATTTGATAGTAAAGTTTATCTCAAGCTTATTTCTATTGTAAACCTGCTCTACTAAGTTGATGACTCACTGTGTGAATTTTTGTGGCAGTGGAAACACTAAACATTTTATTTTATTTTGTTTAAAGATCTGACCATTTTATATTTGTGATTTAGTTGTTAATTATTAATATTATCTCATTAAGATTTTAAAATTCTGTTTAGAAATTATTTCTTAACATAAATTCAGGTATGGGATTGTGATACTGGCAGACAAGTTCAGAGAATATCTTGCTTCCAGTCTACTGTAAAGGTAAAATCTTAAGGAAATGCAAGTTTTTATGGTAATATGTTTTTGTCTCAGAAAAAATGGTTTAATAAATGAGATAAATTACTTTTGTAAGTTTTAAAAATTATTTTTTTCACATCCCTATAGCTGTTTGATTCTGAAACTAGATTTTTGGAGGCATATGTATTAAGCATTAGAATGTTTCAGTTGGAAATTAGAGCAGGGACTAATTATTCTAATAAGAGAGGAAAAGGTAGGACCTGGTACATTTTTAGCAAGAAATTCTAGGAAGAATGACTGTAACAGTAGCTGTTCTGTTTTCTTTATAATTTGACTTAAATACGGAGTTATTTTTTCCTTGACCTCTGCCTTCTCAAAGGTCATAAAGACATGTGAGTTACCTAGTTCCAAAACTAAAAATCTTAATGTGGCTCTCCTATTAGGTTCATTTATTTTACAGATACTAATTGAGGCTATGTGACAGGAACTCCGCTGCTTATTAGAGAAACAACTTGATCAAAACTTATATTTCATGTGATCTGAAAAGCTGCTATTTTTATATGCCTTTAAAAATCTTGCTGCCTGAAAAACTAAGGTTATTAGGTCTCAAATGAAAATACATGATTAGAAGGAACAGAGAACTTAGAGAAAATAACAGTGTATTTTGGGAACATTCCTTTGGGGAACTGTTTCATGAACTAGCTATAGGATCTGGTCAGTAGCAAAGTATCTTTCCCCTTGGTGGAAAGACTTTTTTTATTATTATTCATTTATTCACATGTACATACATTATTTGGGTCATTTCTCCCCCCCTGACTTCCCACCCACCCTCTCCCCGCTTCCCCCCTCAGTTCCAGTTAGGTTTTTATTGTAATGTTAATCATCTTGATAATTGGATTTGTTTAAAGGGGTTTTATTGTAATATTAATCAGCTAGCTACTTGTATTTGTTTACTGCTGCTATGATACTGTTTGTTTCAGTAAGAAATTATTTAAAAATATCATTGTGCTCACTTTAATTCAGGTTTTTTTCTTTCTTTCCTTTTTGGTCCTACTGGGGTTTGAACTCACAGTTTTATACTTGCTAGGCAGACAGTCTGCTTGATGCAAGCCTCCAGCCCTTTTTGCTATAGTTATGTTTTGAGATGGGGGGTCTCACTTATTGACCAGGCTAGCTTGGACCAGGATATTCCTATTTCAAGCTTCCCTCCATCGCTAGGATGACATGCACATAACACCATGCCTAGCTTTTTACCAGTTGAGATGAGGTCTCACATACTTTTTTTGCCTGGGCTGAATTATTGGTGGAAGTAGCTAGGATTATAGGTGGAAGCCACTAGCACCCAGCTGCAAAGAACTCTTAAGAATAAAGACAAATAGCCCAATTAAAAACAGACAAAGAATTTGAAAGGTGTTTCTTCAGAAAGATATACAAATGGCCAGTGAGTACATGGAAAAAAGCTCGACATCATTAGCTGTCAGAGACATGCAAGTCAAAACCACAGTGATATGCTGTTTCATACAAGAATGGCCAATATCTAAAAGACAGGTCTAACAAAGTGTTGATTCGTTTATGGAAAGACTATGAACTTTAAACATTGCTGGGGGGGGAATGTTATAGTAACCTTAGAAAATAGTTTATATCAAGTCATCAACGTGTTAAGTAGAATTATTTGACCCAAGAATCCTCCTAGATATATTTCCAAGAGAAATGAAAATACATGTCCCCACAAAAACTTGCACATGAATGTTCAGAGCAGTATTATTCATACTAGCTAAAAAAATGGATGGAATATTATTTGCCAATAAAATAAAATGCAGCTATCAGAAATCCAGAGAGTAGACAGGATAGGACCTCCTGAAATAGAAACTGTATTGATTATTTTCAACACTTTCTTCTGTTTGAAAGGCAGCCCAACCTTCTGCCTAGGCAAGACCACCAGAGCCTCCTATTTTTCTTTTCAATTCTCTCTTGCTGTTTCCCTTGTACTCACTCTGGGTCAGTGGGTGAAGAAGAGACTATGAAAGAAAGGGACCTTAGCATATCATAAAAGATACAGGACTTCTACAGTTCTTTTCTGAGTCTACCAAAGAGAATTATTTAGAAGAATTAGTAGATAATTAAAAACATAAAAACAAAGGTCATGTTGCCCATTTCACTTAAAGAGAGATTTAAGTATTACATATTAGTTATCTACTACTAAGTAACAAATTGCCTCAAATTTCATGGCTTAAAGCAATAAACACTATCTCAGAGTGTTTGGTCAGGAATAAAGACCATCCTAGCTGAGTGGTTCTGCTCAGGGTCTCGGTTTTGTCATCAGAAGGCTCACCTGGGGTGAGAATCTACTTCCAGAGGCTCGCCATGTTAGTGGTAGTTGTCTGGAGACCTCAGTTCCTTGCTGTGTGGACCTTTTCCCATATGGTTGCTTGAGTGGCCATGCCCTGGAGCAAGTGATCTGAGAGAGAACAGGGAGGAAGCTGCAGTGTCTTCTATGACTTAGTCTTTCAGTCATGCACCATCCTTTCTTCTTCTTTATGTTCTTGAGACACTAGTTACCTAGAAGAGCCTGTGTTCAAGATAAGGAAAAGTAAGCTCTGCATAGTAAAGAGAGGCTTTCAAAGAACTTGAGGACATAATTTAAAACCACTCAACAATGAATACTTGAGTTTCTGAACTGATGTATATTTCAAATCAATTTTTGCAGTGTTTAACTGTTCTTCAGAGACTAGATGTTTGGCTCTCTGGTGGGAATGACTTATGTGTGTGGAACCGAAAATCACACCTCCTGTGTAAGACCAGCCATGTTTCTGATACAGGTAAAAACAAAGCAAGGTGTTTGTGAACCTGATTGACACACTGTAAAAGACACGGTGACTCTTCAAAGACACTTTTCATGAATACAGAGGCTCGTGTAGAGCATTATGTTTCTTAGGTCAGAAGATTAGCCATATTCAGTTAGTATCCTCATTTCACAAATAATGTTTTTTAAACCAATTGTTTTCTCCTTCCCATGCCTGCTCTCCTTGTTTCTTCCTTATCCTTCTCTTCCACTGCTCCTGCACTCTGTCCTCCACCTTCCTATACATGAGAAGATATAAAACATACTAGCTAAGCAAGCCTGTGTGGAGGAGGAGCTGAGGTAGAAATGCTCTGAATCACAGCAGCGCTACTAGTCTTTTGATATGTAGAAAAGATAAGCCAATGAGTGAAATATTCTCCAAATTTGTATACACAGTATAAATTATATGTGAATTATGTATATTTATTATAGTAGAAGGGAATTAACTTTAATAAAAGTTTTTTTGACAGCACATGTCCTAATATATCAATTCTTTAGTTTTTGTTGACAAAAATAATAGTTGTAATCTATCTCACAGAAGTTATGGTTAGCCTCAAGCCATTTCATAATTCAGCTATGAAAAGATACTTAGAATTCTACATATAAGACTGGGCACTGTGGCAAGTTGTCCCACCTATTTGGGAGGTTGAGGCAGGTGAGGATCCTTTTAGCCCAGGAGTCTGAGGCCAGCCTGGGCAACATAGCAAGATCTTGTCTCTTAAAAAACAAAAACAAACAAAACCCTTACAAAAACTTCTATACTTAAATAAATAAATGAAATATGATAAGAGTATAAAGTCTGACTATTTCAATAGTGAGTTTTGTAAATATTAATTGACCATAAACATGCTATTTGAAAGCTACTTTCTTGGCTGTTAACTATTGACTAGCTCTGTTGATATGGGAATAGCAAACTCCAGACTCAGTTTCTCCTATACTCTTGTTTAACAGCATGCTTCTGGAAGACACCAGCCAGTTGCCCTCTGATCCAGTTCATTCTGACACTACCTGGAGATAGCATCAGATTTCACATTTTGAGGGTGCAGCTACCAAAATTGCCCCCCACCCCACTTGTGCTGTTCACAGCCCACTTGTTTTACTTGAGCTGGATACAGATGAAGAAATACATAGAGCAAGGCATGTGGGAAGGGGCATGAAGCTTCCAGTCCTCCTCTAGGTGTGCCATCCTCCAGGAATCTGCATGGATTTCGTTATATAGAATCTCTCTCAACCCTGTCTTTTTGATTTTTTTTTTATGGAGGCTTTACATAGGCATGGTTGATTAAATCTTCAGCCATTGGTGACCAACCTTCATTCCCTCTCTTCTCCCTGGTGTTTGAGAAGCGGAGCTAAAAGTTCCAACCTTCTAATCCTGCTTTGGTCTTGGGAGTGGAGGGGGTGACAAGATTCTATCCTAAAGTTACCTAAGGGCAGCCATCCACCAGTCTTCTCATTGTCATACAGAAAGACACTATCATTGGAGAGTCAAAGTATTTTAAGAGTTGTACACCAAGAAAGAAGATGAAGACCAGATTCTTAGTTCATAGTAACACATGAGCTCATTTGGTGCCAATGAGCATGCGCAGGCTTCTTAAGTTTCCACTGAGGGAAACCCCCGTTTTACATCTCATTTGAGCTAGCCGTCTTGTGATGGTTGGTGGTTTTTATCATAAGAGATCCCAGGTAAATATGTGGGAATGGCTGGATATACATACCACTTTCCAGAACAGTGGAAATGTTCAAAGGGTATATCTTACCCTTAAGAAGTCAATAATGCCTTGCAGAGCTCCCAGAAACCTCCTGAAGCAGTCATTTTCATGTTTAAATAAGCAAGAAAGTGGGAATGTAGCAAGTTTTATGTGCTTTATTGTTGTCACCTACTTTCTGGAAATGTGTGGCATAAAACTGAGAATGTTTTGTTTTTGATGTAATCCATGAAAAAAATGATTTGCCTTGTTTTATATCTTTATGAAGGGATCAGTGCTTTGGTTGAAGTACCAAGCAACTGTGTTGTAGCAGCAGTTGGCACAGAACTGAGTGAGTATGACATTCCTTTTCTTTGTTTTATTTGTGCATGTATTGTGTATATATTTTTAAAACTAGAACATTCATGCTGGAAGACAAAGTAGTTTTTTATTTCAGAGATGTCTACCCTTGCCCTACTCTTGGCCTTTTGGGGTTGTTAAAAGAGACACAGTTTTAAGATGTTAGGGCAGGCTTCTTTTCTTGTCAGTATTGCAGTTTATTTTTTGATTAAATAACATTGCTTAATCTAAATCCTACTCTCATCTGTCAGTATTCCATCTAAGGTAGGATTTCATACAAGTTTGATAGGTATCAGGAAGAGTTCTCTTGTGTATTGACTGAAAGACCGTTTGACAACCACAGTTTGAATGTGAATGGCTATCAGAATTTAATAACCTTGCTAGAAATGTGTCAGTTAGGGAAATATTATCAGAGCAGAAGGAAACATGTGGTATGACCTATTTCCTGAGAGAAATGTGAGAAGGAAGAGAAACGTGGACAATTACCACCACTTGGAAAAGCTACAAGATCTTCCACTTTCATAGCTCTTGCTCCAGTGGCTGATGATAGCACTTCATACACTGACGACAGTAAGCCTGTGGATGAATCTTATGCCCACTGTGGACTGGGCGCATTCAGGGCAGCAACTGGCCTTGTTCACATTTGATAGCTAGAGCTCCTAGAACATAGTGAATGTTTATTAAATGTTGATCAGTAGGATCACTTCCATTAATTTGATTTTGTGTTTTCTGCATTAATTAAAGTTAAGATTTATACTAGTTAAATAAACCTTTTTTTGTCAAAGTAAGATAATGAGTCCAGCAAGACATTGAGCACTTCCCATTGTCAAAGAACTATGTGGTGTACACGATTATTATCCTCCTCAGAGGTTTTTGATTTATTGGTATATGCCTGTGTATCAAGAAAACAGTTTTGTTTTGTCTTTTAAAGCACCTGCTGAAGTCTTCACTGAGTTGAAGTTGAGCATGAATTTCTAGCTTATTTTATAGCAGTTCTTACTGGCCTGGGACTCTGAGTAGAGAAAGCTGATAGTGGAGGTGATTCAGGGACGAGGGCCAGATGCTGACCAGGAATGGGTGTACAGCTGGATGTGTGTTGAAGCTCTAGAGAGAACAGAGCCTTTGATATTTGGTAGTGTGTTTAGAAGAGTCAATAAAGGAAGTGAGTTCTAAGGAAACTAATGTAGGATTCAAGTAGATCATTTGAAACATCTCAAGCATTTTAAAGAAATAGTTTCTCAAACTCCTAGAAAAACAAGAACAAGCAAATCCCAAAACAAATAGGAGAGAAATAATAAAAATAAGAGCTGAAATCAATAAAATAGAAACCAAAAAAACCATACAAAGAATTAATGAAACAAATAATTGGTTCTTTGAAAAAATAAACAAGATCGACAGACCCCTGGCAAACCTGACTAAAAGGAGAGAAAAAACCCAAATTAGTAGAATTAGGAATGCGAAAGGGGAGATAACAACAAACACCATGGAATTCCAGGAAATCATCAGAGACTACTTCGAGAACCTATATTCAAATAAATTTGAAAATCTTAAAGAAATGGACAGATTTCTAGATACATATGATCATCGAAAACTGAACCAAGAAGATATTAATAAACCGAATAGATCTATAACACAAAATGAAATTGAAGCAGCAATCAAGAGTCTCCCCAAAAAAGAAAAGTCCAGGACCTGATGGATTCTCTGCTGAATTCTATCAGACCTTTAAAGAAGGTCTGATACCAACCTCCTTAAACTGTTCCACAAACAGAAAGGGAAGGAAAACTGCCTAACACATTTTATGAAGCCAGTATTACACTTATCCCAAAACCAGGCAAAGACACCTCCAAAAAGGAGAACTATAGGTCAATCTCCTTAATGAATATTGATGCAAAAATCCTCAATAAAATAATGCAAACTGCATTCAACAACATATCAAAAACATCATTCACCACGACCAAGTAGGCTTCATCCCAGGAATGCAGGGGTGGTTCAACATACAAAAATCAGTAAATGTAATAAACCACATTAACAGAAGCAAAGACAAAAACCACATGATCATCTCAATAGATGCAGCAAAAGCCTTTGATAAGATCCAACACCATTTCATAATAAAAGCTCTAAGAAAACTAGGAATAGAAGGAAAGTACCTCAACATTATAAAAGCTGTATGTGACAAACCTACAGCCAGCATTATACTTAACAGAGAAAAATTGAAACCATTCCCTTTAAAATCAGGAACTTAGACAAGGATGCCCACTATCTCCACTCCTATTCAACATAGTACTGGAATTCCTAGCCAGAGCAATTAGGCAAGAAGAAGGAATAAAAGGAATACAAATAGGTAAAGAAACTGTCAAAATATCCCTATCTGCAGATGACATGATCCTATACCTTAAAGACCCAAAAAACTCTACTCAAAAGCTCCTAGACACCATCAATAACTATAGCAAGGTAGTAGGATATAAAGTCAACATAGAAAAAACATTAGCATTTCTATACACTAATAATGAACAAACTGAGAAAGAATATATGAAAACAATTCCATTTACAATAGCCTCAAAAAAAATCAAATACCTAGGTGTAAACCTAACAAAGGATGTGAATGACCTCTATAAGGAAAACTATACACTTCTGAAGAAAGAGATTGAGGAAGACTATAGAAAGTGGAGAGATCTCCCATGCTCATGGATTGGTAAAATCAACATAGTAAAAACGTCTATACTCCCAAAAGTAATCTACATGTTTAATGCAATTTCCATACAAAATCCCAATGACATTCATTAAAGAGATTGAAAAATCTATCGTTAAATTTATATGGAAACACAAGAGGCCACGAATAGCCAAGGCAATACTCAGTCAAAAGAACTATGCAGGAGGTATCACAATACCCAACTTCAAACTATATTACAAAGCAATCACAATAAAAACAGTATGGTACTGGCACAAAAATAGACATGAAGACCAGTGGAACAGAATAGAGGACCCAGATATGAAGCCACACAACTATAACCAACTTGTCTTTGACAAAGGTGCTAAAAATACATGATGGAGAAATAGCAGCCTCTTCAACAAAAACTGCTGGGAAAACTGGTTAGCAGTCTGCAAAAAACTGAAACTAGATCCATGTATATCACCGTATACCAATATTAACTCAAAATGGATCAAGGATCTTAATATCAGACCACAAACTCTAAAGTTGATACAGGAAAGAGTAGGAAATACTCTGGATTTAGTAGGTATAGGTAAGAACTTTCTCAGTGGAACCCCAGCAGCACAGCAACTAAGAGATAGCATAGATAAATGGGACCTCATAAAACTAAAAAGCTTCTGCTAAACAAAAGAAATGGTCTTTAAACTGAAGAGAACACCCACAGAGTGGGAGAAAATATTTGCCAGCTACACATCAGATAGACGACTGATAACCAGAATATATAGGGAACTTAAGAAACTAAATTCTCCCAAAATTAATGAACCAATAAGGAAATGGGCACAGGAACTAAACAGAACTTTCTCAAAAGAAGAAATTCAAATGGCCAAAAAACACATGAAAAAAATGCTCACCATCTCTAGCTGCAAATTAAAACCACACTAAGATTGTACCTCACCCCTGTTAGAATAGCCATCATTAGCAACACCACTAACAACAGGTGTTGGCAAGGATGCGGGGGAAAAAGGAACCCTCTTACACTGCTGGTGGGAATGTAAACTAGTACAACCACTGTGGAAAAAAATTTGGAGGCTACTTAAAAAGCTAAACATTGATCTACCATTTGATCCAGCAATACCACTCTTGTGGATATTCCCAAAAGACTGTGACACAGGTTACTCCAGAGGCACCTGCACACCCATGTTCATTGCAGCACTATTCACAATAGCCAAGTTATGGAAACAGCCAAGATGCCCCACTACTGATGAATGGATCAACAAAATGTGGTATTTATACACAATGGAATTTTATGCAGCCATGAAGAAGAATGAAATGTTATCATTTGCTGGTGAATGGATGGAATTGGAGAACATCATTCTGAGTGAGGTTAGCCTGGCCCAAAAGACCAAAAATCGTATGTTCTCCCTCATATGCAGACATTAGATCGAGGGCAAACACAACAGGGGACTGAACTTTGATCACAAGATAAAAGCGACAAGACACCTAAAAAACTAGATAGCATTTGTTGTCCTCAACGCAGAGAAACTAAAGCAGATACTTTAGAGCAACTGAGGCCAATAGGAGAAGGGGACCAGGAACTAGAGAAAAAGTTAGACCAAGAAGAATTAACCTAGAAGATAACACACATGCACAGGAAATCAATGTGAGTCAACTCCTGTATAGCTATCCTTATCTCAACTAGCAAAAATCCTTGGTCCTTCCTATTATTGCTTATAATCTCTCTACAACAAAATTAGAGATAAGGGCAAAATAGTTTCTGCCTGGTAGTGAGGAGTTGAGGGGGAAGGGATGGCGTGGAGGGGTAAGGGAGGTGGCGGGGGAAGGGTGGAGAAATGACCCAAACGTTGTATGCACATATGAATAAAAAAAAAGAAATAGTTTAAGTTAATATGAATAAGGTTCTCTTTGGAATAGGCTTTCTAATATGATAAGTACCTTTCACTATTTCATTAAGAAATATTTCTTAATGAATTTATTATCTATAATAAAAATTAAGAAATTTTTCTTAATTAAGAAGCTATCATCAAAAATATTTTTAGCAGAAACTTAACTTTATATTCTTTGAACATTTTAATAAAATTGCATCCATCTTTTTCCTTTAGTAATTTTCAGGTTAGTAACACCCACAGAAGGATCACTGGAATGGGATATTATTGAAGTTAAGCGCCTCCTTGATCACCAGGATAATGTTCTCTCATTGGTTAATGTCAATGGTGAGCTCATTGTATACATATATATTATGTAGAATTTTGTATTTATTAATCTATTCTGAATTTCAGTCTCCTTTTGTTCCAGGGTTCTAGAATTAACCATTATTAAAATAATAGTTTATCTTTGTAGGGACTGTCATTTTCTCTCTGTCTCTCTCTATATATTTGGTGGTACTGGGGTTTGAACTCAGGACTTCATGCTTGTGAGACAGGCACTCTGCTACTTGAGCCATGCCTCCAGCATTTTTTGCTTTGGTTGTTTTGCAGATTGGGTCTTGCTTTTGCCCAGGTTAGCTTGGACCACTATTCTCCTATTTTATGCTTCCTGCTGTTGCTGGGATGACAGGGTTGAGATGACATCTTGCAGACTTTTTGCCTGGGCTGGCCTCCAACCTCAGTCTTCCCCAACTCAACCTTCCAATTAGCTAGGTGCCATTCTCTTTACTCTGAACTTTCAGACAGTTGAGCTGAGAAAGCTCCTGTATTCACAGGTCTAAGACTTAGGCACTTGGAGAATACAGTAGGCCCACCATCCTAAGTACCATTTGGCAGCTGTGGAGTGATTGTTGTAGGCTGTAAATCATAGTGCCTCTCACATTCCAGCAATTTTTAAATTTTTTTTTTTTAGTGTTATTGGTGTTTGAACTCAGGACCTTGTGTTTGCTAGACAGGTACTACCACTTGAGCCACACCTCCTGCCATTTTTGGCTTTCGTTATTTTGGAAATAGGGTCTTGCTTGGAGTGGCATGGACTGAAATCCTCCTATTTATACTTTCCGTGTAGCTGGGATAACAGGTGTACGCCACCATGCTCAGCTTTTATTGGTTGAGATGGGGTGTCAGGAACATTTTGCCCAGAACAGCTCCTTCCTACCCTTTCCTAGGATTACAAGGATGAGTGCTGGCTGCATTCTAGCATTCTTGGCAAATGGCCTGGTCCTTTTTTATAGAGAAGCCCTTTTGTCTTGCTGACATATAGCACAAAATCACATAGCAAGTCATATATTTAAAATGGATTGAACAGATTTTATCCAGTTGTAATCATGATTGAAGACTTCCAGAGAATAACAAAAGTCTGCTGAAAATGGATCATGTCTGCCCTTCCTCATGGTTATGCATTTTGGCTTGCCAGCATCTTTACTTGGCTCTGTAAGTGATTTTGGAGAGCTGAGTCAGACATCAGATGGCAGGATAGGATCACAAACCACAGATCTTGACATATAGCTAGTTCACTTGCAAATAAGTAACAGCTTACATCATCAGAGCTGTGCTGGATGATCTGTGGGTGAGTCAGATGAGAGCACTCCTCCGGTGAAGACTGCAAACAAGTCTGTAAGGTTGTTGTAAATATGAGTGGGTGGCATCCCAGCCACATGTTGACCTGAGGCCTGGGCTGGCTCTTTGGCCAGTATTTTGTGTGAACATGAGACAAGGGGAGTGAGGGGATACAGAGAGTACCAAGTATAGTTTCCCTGTGTGTCTTTGTGTGCTATTCAGTCACATTTGAATTCACCAATGATATCTCTCCCAGATCTAAAATCCTCCCTCAAATGGGCATCTTATAAAATTCACCCACATGTCTCTCTAAGTACCAGACTGGCTGTGGTGATGGAAGTAACAGTGGTTGATAGCACCTCTTCGTTTCTGGGGGCTCTTTTTCCTCTAGCCTTATGGCTTGAGATGTTAGCTCAAAATACAAATCCTTATGTGGCAGACCCTTTGAGTCTCCTTGGTAATGCTGAGCCATTAGCCCCAAGCTTCTGGAGCTATTGAGGAAAGCATGGCAGTGTTCTGGCCCATTACACTGGTCATGCCTAGTTAGTTGTCCCATTTTAATGATGATGCACTGGTGCCATTGAACCATCATGGTTACATAAATGGAGATGATGCTGTATTCCAGAGATAGCTTTCATTTGAAGGTGCTTCTTTTATAGTGTGGTATGCAATTGGCTTTTAACCTTTTTTTTTGATTCTGGGGAGCCAACCCAGAACATGGTAGGCAAGTGCTCTACCACTGAGGCACACCCTAGCCCAAAGCTTCCTACGGTATTTTAAGAAAACTTCCCTGAAGTGTTTCTTTACTTGATTATTATTATTTTTTGAGACAAGGTCTCTATGTTGCCCAGGTTAGCCTTGAAATTGTAATCCTCCTGCCTCCAAGTCTCGAGTGCTGGGATTCTAAGTGTGTACCACCAAGACCGACTCTCTTTGCCAGATTCTTAAAGGAAGGAAAATGGAAAGCTGAAGCAAAAAAAAAAAAAGTTAATGAAAGTTACAGGGCGGGGTGGTGGTGCACGCCTTTAATCCCAGCTACTCTGGAGACAAAAATGTGAGACTATATCTGGAAAAATAACTAAAGCAAAAAAAAAAAGGGCTGGAGGTGTGGCTCAAGCAGTAGAGCACCTGCCTAGCAAATGCAAGGTCCTGAGCTCAAACTCCAGTACTTCCCCTCCCCCCAAAAAGAAAAGAAAGTTACAGAAAACCTGTAACAATTCCTACTTTATAAACTCTATGACTACAAAATTATACTACAGAGAATAAATAAGATAAAGCATAGTTAGCAATCATTCATGGCCAGGTAGTCTGGTAAAATTTGTAAAAGGTTTGTTAACAGTTTGATCTGGCACAGGCATGTCAGTGATGCTACAGATTTTGGTTATCCTAAAATGATTGTTTTGTACAGTTACCTGGTCAATTTTCTGCCGTGTTTTGTCTTCATCCATTACCAATGAAAGAGGCGACAGTTACTAGGTTTCTCCATCACAGCAGAAGTGCATTTTTAGTGAGGTGGCCCCAGGGCAATCTTGAATGATATACTTGAACTCCCACAAATGGGGATAATACATACCAAGTTTGCTAAAAAGATCTGAATGCCCAGACAGCTTTCCTGAGACAGACACAAGATGACCTTGCTAATCTCTTCTGGCAAAAGGCTTTGCGTGCTTCTTTTATTTTATTCCTTTTCTTGATTTGTGCTGACAGTAAGATATGGTAATCACAAAGTATTAGTTCTTGGGAAGTATGGACAGACAGATGCCAGGTGAGATTTTTCCTAAGTAGCCTTTGATACTGGGATGACAGTCCGTCCACTATAACGCCTCACTGAAGCTGTTTGGTGTGGAGCATTTTGAATGACCTGCCTGGGAATATAAATAATTTACACAGGATGAAGTATGTGCTGAGTCAGATGAATGCCAGTATTTTGTTTTTAGTGAAAGATTCCAAGGGGTCGGTAGAACTTGTTTCTGTAGCAAAGAGGAATCACAGATAGTTGGAGGATTAAGTCAGAGTTGGGAGCTGTGTGATCTCAGTACTCTGACTCTTGTGTTATGACTACCGACCCAGAGTTGGAGTCAAGAGGAATCTTCGCTCCTTAACTTCTCTGATTCTTTTGCAGTAAAGATGAGTACTGCTTTAAATTTCACAATATTAAAACTAGGAAGTTGTTTCTCCCCTGAGATGAGAAGTGCACTTACTTCTTTACAGAACAAAGTCTATAATCTGCTAAAACTATAGAAATTAGACATCAATGAGCTACCTATTATGGCCTTAGAATCGAGACAAAATAATGTCTACATGTGTGATTGCTAGTAATTCTTTATTTCTAAGGAATTGTTCATATGGTTATTAGAGATTTCTGGCCTGCTGGTTTATTTGATAAATGGTATAATTGAATCATAATTACCCATCTGTATACTCTTAAATGGCAAGTCACTGCATGTTTTAATACAGCTAATATGGAATAATACCAGAGACTCAAAAATAATACCAGACTCAAAGAATGTTAATTTGTTATCTTTTTTAAATGGATAAACATTTAATTTGATTTCTAAAATAATCCTCATTTAATATGTAAGGAATCCAAGATAAAGAAAGATTGAATGATTTCCTTAAGACTACCTCATTAATAATGGCAGAGCCAAAATTAGAACTGGGGTTTCTGGACTCATTGTGTTGTTCTGTTCTGTCTTACCTTAAATATGTAAGAATCAAAATAAATTACATTTTTAAAGATAATTTTTAGTCTAACAGTCATACATTTTCTATTAAATGTTTAATGTATGAAGTGTGTTGGCAAATGAACTTTATTTTATTTAAAGGTGTTAAAAACTTATTATTCTGCAAGTTACACATAGTCATAGTAGAAAAATGAGAAACATAAAAAGTGTTAAAAATAAAATCATACCATCATCCAGTATTAAGGACCAGTCCACATCCTTCTCTGTTTTTCTGTGTGTGTGTATTTGTATATAAAAATAGGTCTACTGTTTTCGTAACAGTTATGTATGAATATATTTCCCTACCAATGTAAAATACTTTTACAACTTAATTTTTAATATCATTTTGTGGATAATGATTTTGTTCTATAAATGTCTTTATTTATTTAATCCCCAGTGAGCTATTTAGGATATCTTCAAATTTTTAAGATATGTCTAGCAACCTTGTACATATATTTGTCTTTTTTGCATTTCCCTCAAGATAAATTTCTAGAAGTAGAATTTGTGGATCAATACATTTTAACAGTTTTGATTCAAATTACCAAATTAATCTTTGAAAAGGTTGTACCAACTTATACTATGACATTAGTATAAATGTAAATGATTCCCCGTTTTGCTGATATTAGGTATTTTCCTGTTTTATAACAAGATTTATGCATTTGAATTTATAAATCTATGAATTTCCAATTCGTAAGTCAGTAAGTAGTATGCTTTGAGATTTCTTTGATTATTGAAGTACTTAATTTTTTTTCACATACTTACTTACCACTTGTAAATAAAATAAACTTTCCTATTCAGGTGCTTGGTCTCCTCCCTCCACCCCCACCGCTGGTGTATCTATCTCAGTCTTAGTGATTGCTAAGAACACCTTATATATCAAGTATAATAAACTTATTGACATCTAAGTTGCACATCTTGTCATTTAATTGTATGATTTTTTTTTTTTTGCCAAGCATATATTTACTTTCACCCCATCTGGCTTTCTTTAGATCCCATTAACACTCCATATTCTCAAAATCCTTCACCTGTATTTTCTTCAATCCTTTAAGTACCTTTAATGTTTTAATATTATATTTGAAACATGTTTTGATATATGATCCAAGGTAAGGTTCTTTTATATTCAGTCTCCTAAAATTTGACCAAACATTCCAGTATGTTATTTCTTTAGTGAGGTGAAATGCAATCATATCATACAACCAGGTAAACTTGAGACTATTTCTGATCTTTTTAGTCTGTTATGTTAGTATTTCTGTTTGGCTTGTCTAGGGATCTCAGTGTTCTCATTACTGTGGTTTTATAGAGCATTGCCACTAGGAAATCCATTCATTTTTACCTTAACCTGGAAAAAATGACCAATAATGAGGCATATGTGAACTGTTTGAACTGGTCCTAGATTTCAGCCTTGTTACCGGCTCCCACGTCGGAGAGCTGATTATCTGGGATGTCCTGGACTGGACCATGCAGGCCTATGAACGCAACTTCTGGGACCCATCTTCACAGCTGGACACCCAGCAGGAAATAAAACTCTGTCAAAAACTAAGTGACATTTCTATTCATCATTTCACATGTGACAAAGAGGTAAAAAATAAATTATCTGTAAACTTTTTTTAAAATAAACCCAATTTCTGATTTTTAAAATTTAATTCCACAATTGACATTAAAAAGGTATCATCCCTATGGTTTTAAATCGTCTGATATTTTATGAAGATTGTACTACTTTCACTGAAAAAGCAGTTTAATCTTTGTCTAATCTTGAGGCAAGGAAATGATTAGATGGCCACATATTTAGAAATCCTATTGAAATTTTTGGTTAGATTAGATAATGCCACAGGATTTTAAGTTAATGCTTCAAACTGTTTTAAGAAACACTGTGAAACAGAATCCTTCAGAAGATTTAGGTATATTTCCTAGAGAGGTTAAAAAAAATTAAACTTCCAGGAATGTTTCTTTTTAGTCTACAAGTGTCCTGGCCAAGAAATTGGGTGAGATTGCTGCTCTCTATCCTTTTAGGCCTCGGTAGTGATGCTTCTGAAGCTCTGTTCTGTAAATATCAACACTAACAGACACCCAAACCTCACTTCTGAGCCAGGAAACTGTTCTTGTAGTTCCAGAGGCTCAGAAAATATGTTTGGAGGGAGCTAGTTTTCTAAATGTAATCATTAAAAGTGTCCCTAACTTTTCAGGAGAGGGAGTGGGGGAATGTTTTCTTTTGTGCCTTTCTATCCCGTTTAAATTTTCTAATTGCATGCATGTCATTATTTTTACTGAAAGTTCAATAATTTTGACCCTTGGCAATGGGCAAAGACATCTCATTGGTGATGTTGCAGTCAGGGGCAGAACAGATTACAGCCCTTTGTTCATCCTAACTTGTTGCCTGGGTCAGTGGCCAAAGCTGTTTTACGCATAGGGCACAAAAATAATTAAAAATAAATAAAAATTTGAAAAATTTTAAAAGTAAAATATTTCAATAATTTTGTTCTGGAGTGAGAGAACATTTTTTTATTTTTCTCTGCACCACTCTTTAAAAACAGAAACAAAAGTTGTATTGAAACAAAAGGACAAGAGCTGGATTAAAAATGTTCATATATACCCAAAGATTGTTTCTATGTATCCCAGCTTTATTTTGAAAATAATTAAATATGATAAAAGCAATATGGATCCAAAAAAGATGAGATTTCTTAGTGTTATAGCCCTCAAAAGTTACAAGTACATTTAATTTTATATTGTTTTCACTTGTGAAACATAATACTTAAGGTTTCATTTTATATTCCTGTAGTCCTACATTTTTTATAGATCTTCATTAGCTGCCATGATTGCCTGATAATGCATTAGTCAGCTTTTCCTTCTTTTTCCTGAGTTCTTTCCATTTATAGGTTATTTTTACCTCTCACTAGTTATTGACAGTGGGTGATTGATAGTGTGTCTTTGTGGAGTAAATGCTGCACCCAAAGCTTATGAGTTCTCTAGTCATGTTTATAATTTTCTTCATGACCTTGGATCAGTTACTGCTTCGATTTCCTGGTCATAGAATGAGTTTCTGGGTATTTTGCATTGAGTACAAACCTTAAGGCTCTAGATGATAGCACTTTGGCCAGCTGCTTTCTTTAGCATGCTGGGCACTGGTTCTCAGCTTGTATTACTGAATGCAGAGTACCGATCCTGAGGGTGAGGTGGATCCTTCCACGTTAACACTCTAGTAAGCCTAGGGGCATGCTTTGGATCCACTGCTTTAGGTCGAGGTTGGGTTTGTAGTCTCTGAGAGGCATTGGGGGCCCAAGGTCTCTGGCTGAAAACAGAGAGGCAGACTATAGGGAACTTTAAAAAGTCTGCCTCAATACAGATATAGCTACTGAGAAAAAATGAATGATTTCAAAAGGAGCGCTGCCCAGAGCGTCTAGTCATGTGGAAAGTAATTTCAGAAGCTAGGTGGTATGGTATGTGTACAGAGCAGGGGACTAGAGTCATGTGACTTTGATTGTGATATTGACTGCATGTCATATTTCCTGTGTGACTTTAATAGTTTTTAAGTTTGGACTTGCTCATCTGGAAAGTGGCAATAATGCTTGCCTTTCCTGCATTAATGATATGGTGTGAGGCTGAATGAGAATGCACACTGGCAAAAAATGCTTTTGAAAGTTAAAATGCTTTCGAAAGTTAAAAGGTATTTCTTTTTTTTCCCTTTTTCATTTTTTCTACTGTTGTATGTGGGGATATGTTGTGACATTTATAAAGGTTCTTAAAATGTATCATAGTCGAATTCACCCAGTACAAAGATATTACATATGGAAAGGTGTTTGCGTGAAGCTATCAGAAGACCTGTGGTGATAGTGCCACCACAGCAGATACCTTTTTTTTTTTATTGCAGTACTGGCGTTGAAACTCGGAGTCACACTTGCTAAGCATGCACTCTACCACTTGGGCCACAACCCCAGCCCTGCATACACTTTTTTCGTATTATTTGTAGGCCACTTGATTACTTCAGATGTAGACAAAGGAAGCTAAGTAGCTTTCCGAAGGATGAAAATCCAGACTATTCTTCAGCAGCTGCTGTTGTAAGGCTAGACTGCCAGCCATAGCTCCTTCCTAGAGCTGTCATACTTCATCGAGGACGACAGCAATGCTAGGGGATATGCTGTGTGGAGCCTCCTCTGTAGTGCCATGTCCTTCTACCGTCTAAATGTGCCCAGCTTTCTTTGGTGTTTTGACATTTTTGGACTTTAGAGGTCAGTACACTAATTTTGACTGATGGCTGAAAATAGGGACAGTAACAGTGGGTTTCTGATGTCACACAAGGGCTGGAAATCTGTTATACCTGGTAGTAAATACTAGTTTTAATCCCATTTCTGAATTCTCCCTAGAATGTATTTGCTGCAGTTGGAAGGGGTTTATATGTGTATAATCTTCAACTGAAGCGTGTGATTGCCTGCCAGAAAACGGCACATGACTCCAGTGTCTTGCACGTTGCCAAGCTTCCAAACAGGTACATGTTCCTATCTGTTCTGCATGAGGTGAAAGAGAGGCATGGTTTCTGGCCACCAGTGGCCAAGTTACCTGGTTCCGTGGCTTGACTTGCTTATTTTTTTGGAAATGGAAAATGCCTGTGGCTGTCTCTAACAGGAATTTGCAGCAATATATTTATAGAAGCAAGGTTCAAATGACCTGCTTTCAATTTCATTCATTGTAAGGTTATTTAAAATCTGGTATTTATTTAATAGGGTTAAAGACTTGGGACACTTACAGTGTACTCATTTTTCTTTTTATGGTTTTTGTAAAGCTACTTTTTCATGGGTGTTATGTGTTCTATAGCCAAAATCAAATGGTAGACTCCTTATTGTCTAAGGTTACTAAGTGAGAGTTTTTTCTTCTCCATGTAGCTTTAGCTGCTGAGTTTCTAGGGCTGGAATTATGGGAAGGGAATAGCACTGTTTTCTATGCAGGGCATATTTAAATGAGAGGCCCCCTGAAAGGAGATACGGTAAGAGGAGGAAAGGGGCTGCTCAGGACATTGTGAAAATACACTTCATACCTGTTTTCCTGAATGTGTTTTAAAAATGTAGATAATAAATGTGTGGCTTTTGAGCCAGTGGCAGAATGTAATGTGTGTTTTTCCTGAAGTATGCCTTGTGAACCATGTGACATCGTGATTTCTATCACCTCCAAGAGCTGAATGAAAGCAGTAGAAGGCTCCAGTGGTTTTTTTCACTACAAATAGTGTTTGGCCTTCCTTGGTGCCCTGTCTTTGTATCACTGGTTTTCTGTTCTGACAGGCAGTTAATCTCATGCTCAGAAGATGGCAGTGTACGCATTTGGGAGTTACGAGAAAAACAGCAGCTCACAGCTGAGCCTGTACCAACAGGTGTGTCTTTTGCCAAAAGTTGGCATCGCTCTCTCTCCTTCCCTCCTGCTTTCCCTCCCAATCCCCTGTCTTCCCTCTCCCTCCCCCTTTCTCTTTTATGCCTCCTCTCCCTTTCCTGTCTTCCTTTTTTCTCATATGATAGACAAATGAAAAGTGATTCCTGTGACACAGGAATCATCCAGGCTGTTCTCCAAACAAGCTTCTTAATATTGCCCCAATGTAGAACTGTCTCTTTACTTCAACTCATGTCAACTGGAATTTTATTGTTTTGAAGAAAAATCTGTTTTCTAGTCATCTGAATAACTAAATGGCCTACTGAGGTAATTATTCATGTTGTCTGTAATTCTGACTGATACACAAACAGAATTTGTACTGACAGATGTCAAATTGACATAAGTGCTCTTTGGCCTTGAGTCATGGGTGACGTAGAACTCCATTTATGGAGAAACCCTTTTTTCCTTGTGTTTTGAAAAACAGAATTCTGGATGTTTACATGAAATATCAACTCTTGATAAGTAATCAGATGCTGGTGCCTCCAGCTTCTTCTTTTTTTGCCTTTTACTTTTCTTCCAGTCTGTTTTTGTCATCTTCATAAACCTTCACCAGTATGTAAGAGGGGGCAATAAAAAGAGATGAGGAGCAAACCTGGTTAGTTAAGGAAGATGAAATGAAATAATGTTTTAAAGACCCTAGCAGCCAGGCACCAGTGGCTCACACATGTAATCCTAACTGCTTGGGAGGCCAAGATCGGGAGGATCATGATTCAAGGCCAGCCCAGGCAAATAGTTCATGAGACCCCCATCTCCAAAATTATCAGAGCAAAATAGACTGGAGGTGTGGCTCAAGTAGTAGAGTGCCTACTTGCATTAGTGTCTGGTGCCATCTGCTCAGCCCTTGTCTAAAACATCTTTGCATATTCTCTGGTGTTTTTGTTTTTTTGTCTCATATTACTGTTCCAAATAAAGAATATGGTAGTTTTGGAAATGACTGAAATGATTGTATTTTTCTAGGTTTTTTTAATATGTGGGGATTTGGAAGAGTGAACAAACAAACCAGCCAAACTGTTAAAAAACAGCAAGAAAATGCCACGTCGTGTTCACTGGAGCTCATTGGAGATCTGATTGGACACTCGTCCTCTGTGGAGGTGCTGCTTTCATAGGCATGCAGTGTCTAGTGTTCCTGCTTCTGCATCGCCCTACTCTTTGTACTTAGTTGGTCTCATAGACACCTGTACCTTTTCATTTGTTTTTGCCAGGTCTGAACATAGGACAGACAGGTTACAGTATGGGCTGTGAGGATCATCCTTTACATATATAAGATTTGAGGAATCAAGAAATGTCTTGCTTTAAGAATGGGCTGATTCACCATGGTTTATGAGGGGAACGTAGTGGGCAGTCAGGGCAATGTGGAGGATGCTGAATGAGATGTATAACGATACTCAGTAGAGGGCCAGGAGGGTTGTGCTTACGTGTGTCAGGTTACAGCCTTACCAGGATCTAATTCCAAATTTATGAACTGTTTTCACCTGCCTTTGATGGATAATAATTTATTAGATTTATAAAACCCTTGAGTATCACTGTGAATATGTGAAAATTAATTGGAAATGATAAGAAACATAAGATTCTAACCTGTGGAAACCCAAATATATTATTATTTGCTATAGGCATCATTGCTTGTAATGAAGGAAAAAGATCAGAGGAGGTAAAAAGATGTTTAGAACTGGCAGCAGGGTAAGTAGGGCCCAAAGTAATGAATCTCTTAAATTGCTCTTCCCTGTTTCATTGCCAGGGATGACACATTCCTTTTCACTCAAAAGGGCATTCAAACTTAGGACCACTTACTGACTACTTTCTGTATGCCAAGAATGTAGACCAGATACAACATGCAGTCCTTGCCCCCTAGGATATGACTCTTTAGTAGAAAGAAAGGAGATAGACCTAATAAGCTGTTTATCTAGGCTGCTTATGATGACCCAAATGAGTAGAAGGCAGTGAATACTGAGGAGTTAGAAGAAATATTTCTTGCTACTTTTTTTTTTTTGGTGGGACTGGGGTTTGAACTCAGAGCTGCGTATTTGCAAAGCAGTGGTCCCCTGCTTGAGCCACACCTTCAGACCAACATTTCTTGCTGAATCCTGTAACTGTCTGTGGTAGATATGGGACTTGAGAAGAACTTTGAAAGTTAGGTAAGATTTAGGTAAGATTAATAAATAGCCTTGTCACCATGTGTCTTACTCATCTTTGATTTCCTTTCTTTAACAAATAGCACAGTTTTTGTTTTGTTTTTAGCCTTGGTTTTGGTTAGGTGGCTATGGTGAGTGTGAGGGTGGTGAGCATGGACTGCAGACAAAGGGCAAAGATAGCATTCACTTGGTGGCAAGGAGCAGATTGTCTGGGCAGGAGCACTGGATTCCCATGAGCAGACAGTAGTCAGGAGAAAGCCTGGGAAAGTAGTCTGGGGTCAGATTATGAATATCCTTTAAAATAAGGCTTGAAGAGTTTGGACTTTATTTTTAAAATAGTGGGAACCTATTCATTTTTTTTTCTTTTATTATTCATATGTGCATACAAGGCTTGGTTCATTTCTCCCCCCTGCCCCCACCCCCTCCCTTACCACCCACTCCACCCCCTCCCTCTCCCCCCCACCCCCTCAATACCCAGCAGAAACTATTTTGCCCTTATTTCTAATTTTGTTGTAGAGAGAGTATAAGCAATAATAGGAAGGAACAAGGGTTTTTGCTGGTTGAGATAAGGATAGCTATACAGGGAGTTGACTCACATTAATTTCCTGTGCGTGTGTGTTACCTTCTAGGTTAATTTTTTTGATCTAAACTTTTCTCTAGTTCCTGGTCCCCTTTTCCTATTGGCCTCAGTTGCTTTTAAGGTATCTGCTTTAGTTTCTTTGCATTAAGGGCAACAAATGCTAGCTTATTTTTTAGGTGTCTTACCTATCCTCACCCCTCCCTTGTGTGCTCTAGCTTTTATCATGTGCTCATAGTCTAATCCCATTGTTGCGTTTGCCCTTGATCTAATGTCCACATATGAGGGAGAACATACACTTTTTGGTCTTTTGGGCCAGGCTAACCTCACTCAGAATGATGTTCTCCAATTCCATCCATTTACCAGCGAATGATAACATTTCGTTCTTCTTCATGGCTGCATAAAATTCCATTGTGTATAGATACCACATTTTCTTAATCCATTCGTCAGTGGTGGGGCATCTTAGCTGTTTCCATAACTTGGCTATTGTGAATAGTGCTGCAATAAACATGGGTGTGCAGGTGCCTCTGGAGTAACCTGTGTCACAGTCTTTTGGTTATATCCCCAAGAGTGGTATTGCTGGATCAAATGGTAGATCGATGTCTAGCTTTTTAAGTAGCCTCCAAATTTTTTTCCAGAGTGAACCTATTCATTATTAAGTGATGGAGGAGACCTTTAAAATGGTACATTTGTCACAATATTAGTCATATTCTTAGGAATTTTCTTGAAAGTGTTGAAAGCTTTTATTTTTATTTTTTCATTTTTAAGTGGTACTGGGGATTGAACCCAGGGCTTTCCACATGCAAGGCAAGTGCTCTACCACCAGACTATCATACTTTAAAAAAGCATGTCTGGCATTACTGATAAAATGTACACTCTGTTAGGTACTGTCTGGTCCAATCCCTCAACCTATGTACTGAATTCTTTCTATACCAGTCTCCTGAGGAATTTTGCTCCTTTATTTCCCCCTTTTACTCCATCATATCAGTAAGTCCTTGCTTTTGGCTTTCTCGTGTTATCTTCAGAAAAGTATGTCATGACAAAGAAAACTCTATGCTCTTGTTTCTTACTGTTACCCTGTTCCTCTCCTTATTTCATGCTTTTCTTCTAGGACCTCATTCTTGTCATGGGTTTGTGTCTTCTCTGGTACTTACTTTCCATCCACAGTGTTCATGCTGCTTTTTCAACATTCCACTTTCCTATTCCTATTCTGTTAGCTCCTTCCTTCCCTAAGTATACCTCTTCCTTTTATTTTATTTGGAGCGTTTTCTCTGTGAAGCTTTCTGTGGTAATTTCAGTTTTATTTCTAGATTTCCCCTTTTTCTGAGTTTCTATGGCATATCATAGTCTGACTACATTGTTTAGTACCTGATTTATAGTCTTTCATTGGTGCTCCAGTTGTTTCACCTAAGATTTTGTTTTCACAGTAGGGTCCATAAACATAGCAGACACTTAGTAATGCTTATGAATTGGTTCAGTATATCCACTTTTATAGAGAGTGCTAAAGCCAGTGTTTATCTTGGGAAATTTGCAGTTCATTTGTATATAAATAATGATTATGCAAAGCAGGTGTGGCAGGACTTATACCCAGCAGAGTCTTAAAGCCAGTACTGAGAACTGGATTACGGTGAAATTCAGAAGATACTTTGGGAATGCCCATACTTTACAAAAATAGCTGCTGCCTGCAGTTCTGTAGTTGAGAACAAAATTCGGACTGTTAAAATATTAGATACTGCTCATAATTGTATGTGAGTGCTACCAACATTTAAAAATGAAATCTCTCACTGGGCTTTGTGGGCACACCTACAATCTCAGAGGAGGCAGAGGGTGGAAGATTGCAAATTTGAGGTTAGCTGGAACAAAGTTAGCATGAGACCTTATCTTAAAAACAGAACACAAACAAAAGAACTAAGGGCGTGGTTCAAGTGTTACAGTGCTCGCTTGGCATCTGCAAGGCCCTGGGTTCAATCCCCAGTATTGAAAAACATTAAAAAAAAAAAAAAAGAATAGTTTTACCTTGAAATCCAAAGAAGTCTTTAAGGTATATTTTATAAGTACACACGTAAATCTAGCGTTAGCCTCTTCTCTTTTCTTGAAGTTCCTATAATCAGCAGTCTTAATTTCCTTTACAGATGTTTCTGTACTTTGAAGATCATGGACTCGTGACTTGTTCTGCTGATCATCTCATTATTTTGTGGAAAAATGGAGAACGAGAATCTGGATTACGCAGTTTGAAATTATTTCAGAAGTTAGAGGAGAATGGTGACTTATACCTTGCTGTCTAGTTTAAGGAAGTAGGAATATATGTGCATGTACCTTGAATAGCAAATTTAGAGTCATACTTTGGAACTCCATTAATATACTGATCACTTAAATGTGTAATTTCTTTCTTGTTCATAAAATTCTACATGTTTCTTTTTTGTGCACCTACAAACTAGCAACAAGTTGCTGAAATTTTCAGGTGTCAGTACATACACCAAAGAACATACCACAAGCTTTTCATAAAACTCTGTGACACTGTTGAAGTGGTAACTGCTTTGTTCTGAGTTTCCTGATCTGAGCCTATACTTGGAAGTGGTAGAAAAACAGTAAAGTTGAGTGCTCTTTAGAAGATTTATTTTTTATTTCCTTCATAGCCTGTTTGATTAAGAATTTCTGTGATAAATATATCTTTTCTCCTACAAATTTCCCTGGTCTTTAGTAACTATCAGTATTCAATAGAAAAACTTGAATCCTAGCCAAAAAATGAACTCTATTCTTTATGTATAATGATTTTGGGAGTGGTATTGACTAATTTGCTTAAATTGTTAAAAATATTTGGTGCTAGCCACTCAAATCTCTATGTACTGTAATCCATAGATATCTTATCAAGGTGTATTTCTTCCCAACATGAACTGGCCTGAGCAGCACAGCCAGATTAGGACCAGAGCAGCCCCTCAGGTGTTCCAAGGATGAGTGCTATGACAGCAAAGGGGCACAGTGTTTTCATGGTCAGGGACTGCAGCCAAAAGTGCCCGATCTATCTGCCTCTGACTTAACTATGAAATGCTTGAGGAAAAACTTCACCTTCTGTAGGTCCTTGCATGTCCACTGAGCTTGGGTTATCTTCATCACCCACCTGCTTTATGACAGAACACTCTCACTTTTGGTGCTAAAAAATAAGTAAAAAAGTATTCTGCGTAGTAAAAATTCAGTGGGTTTAATGGTGAAATTATTCTACACTGATTGTTAAAGAAAGGGCACAGTGACTGATGTTGCAGACTGACCCACTTCTGCTGATTTATTTGTTCATCACACACACACATATTTATCCTTACTCCCCACATGGAATCTTTATAAACTCTTGTTTTCACTATCACAATTACTATAGACGAGTGGCAGAATTGATGTAAGGCCTAAGCTATGAAGGAAAGACCTTGCAGGTCAGTGATGTCCCTTACCATCACTGAGCAGCGTTAGGAAGAACACCGGAATGAGAGAAAGGCTTAGGTGACTACCACCTGAGGAAAACCAAATAATGTTCACGTCCTTTACTGTTGTTTTGATTCACAGTGAAAAATAGCTGTATGGGAAAATGTGTGAAAACCTAAGCTAACTCCATTAGGGAAGAGGAAAGTATGCACGTAACCACTAGCACTACCTTTCAGCCAGTGAACCACTGTTACTGAGGCAAACCTGAGTTTCACCCAGAGGCAGCTTTCTGGCTTTCATCCTGAGGTGGAGTGGGTAGATCCCTACGCCAGGCAGACATGCAGTCTGGTCTGAGAGCCCCAGGCTGCTGCTGCTCACTTTGGCTCTGTTATTTCAGGCTCATTTAAAGCTTTTAATTTTCTGCTGTATATACACGGACTTTCCCCCTTTACTAGCTGTCTTTTTCTTTGCAAATTCCATATTAGGTCATGAGTTAGTAAAGATATTTTCTTAAATTATATGAGACATAAGAAATTTAGTTTTGTAACAGCTTTCTTTCCTAAGTGGATTAGTGTTTTGTGATAGCAATCTATTCAGATGGAGTTGTAGAACCACATGGTTTTAGAAGCAAACAATACCTTAGTAAATATCTTCTGTCATACCCTAGGTAACTACTTTTCCACCATGAGAGACTAGTAGCATCAGAGAGCAGTTTCCCACGTAGTCAGTGAACTTGGTATCAGGTCTTTGTTTTCATGAGTGCCCTAAGGTGAGAGACATGGAGCATATAGGAGACTGGTAGAGACTCAAACCAAAGTGCTGTTCAGTAGTTATGTGTAGACTTGCTAAAAGTTGAACTTCCAGTTTAGAAGAAGAAAATGATAATTGGAGTCTCTATATATTATATGCACTTTTTCCTATTTCCCTAATTTAGCTTTTAACACTTAAGATATGTACACCACCAGAACCTTGTCATTGGTCTTTAGAAATACTTCTACGTCAATCTCTGACTGTATTCCTGTAACACAGTTAGAAGTGTTGCAGCACCCTTCTTTCTCAAGTTGAATAGATACTGATTGGATTGATGGGGCTTGATTGTCCAGAGCATTAAGCAGTTCTGACTGTAAAGAATGACTGTGAAACTATGGGCTCATTCTGGTCTAAGTCACAATGTTTTATAGCCAACTTTCTTTTTCTGGCTAGTAGTAATAGTAATAATGTGACTTCTGATTACATGGTTATCCATTTTCAAAGTTAATATGAATGATTCCCCTCAACACATGGTGTTATAGTTAAAAAAAAAACTCAGTATAAGAGGCAACAGTAATAGTTCATATTATGTAGCAACTATCTGACAAACATATAATCTTAAAGTCTGTATTTCTAATAAATTGACTATGCGGAAGAATGTGTCAGTTAGCAACTCAGAAGATACACTGTGGATTGTGCTGATAAAGAGCTGAGTGCCTGGCTGTCTTACAGCACTTAACATCCACACATTAAAGTCTGACGTTAACATGAAATTGATTTGACATAAGACTGAGTAAGCTGTAATGTTTCATATATAAAATGTCAGACTCCTGATAAATGTTACTTACCAAATGGAACTGAAAGTGAGGTGGTCAGAAGAAGACTGTCCTTGCTTCAAGTTTCTGGAACCTAGGCAAATTATTTAGCTCCTTAATTGGGATTCTGGCATTCTGATTTTAATGTGTTCTGAAAACAAAGTGTATGACTCATGAAATAAAGGACACTAAATCCAAGATTTGAAATTATGAAAAATTTAGGCCAAAGAGGTAAAATAAAAACAGCTGTTGGGAATGAAAAATGGCTGTAGGAATTTAGTTACAAGTACTTCACAAAAACATTTTATCACACTTACATAATACAGTTTTACAATACAAAGCTGGCTGCTGTCCTGACCGAGCAAGTTCTCTTATCACCTAACAAAAATAATTTAGATACATTTCTTTGCATGGAATTGTCATGTATGTTTCCATTTTTGGTACAAAACATAGAAAAACCATTGGCACATGATGTAGTGATAAGTCATTTTTTCTTCCATGTACCACTTTTGAGTGTTCTGCATACCAGTTTTCCTTTGGAAAAAAGTAACTTAATTCAGTCTCTATGTATACCTCTTAAAATGCAGCATGGAGTACAAGAAAGTAAAACCAAGATACTTTGTTTACTGAGTCTCTAATGTTCATAACACACAGAGAGGGGCTGACTGGTAAAAGAGAAAGGAAAATCTCAAGTCTGACTTCATGTAAGTCACAGAAAGGTGTGAAAAGAGCTGTATAAAAATATGCACTGTGCTGTAGAAGCTTTTAGCATACAAGAGCTTAAAATAGTATTTCTGCCTCTCCATATGCCTATTTTCTGATATATTTACACATCTCACAATCCCTTTTTTTACATTATTAAAGCAAATGGCATGATCTCAAATATAGATAAGTTAAAAATATCTGAACCTTGAAACTTCCCCATCCCCTCCCAAAAATAGACATATAGGTGGTGCACGGCACAACAAACTCCATGGGCATACACCCAGAAAATTTAGATTGTTTTAATAAAAATTTTAAACAGCAAATGTATATAAATTTTTTCCTTAAAAAAGCTTGTCCAAGGGCATTCAGATTTAATGGCTTTTATATAATACTTAGAGCCTTGTCGCTGCCTCTGTGAACTCAAAATAAGGGAATCTCATGGGCTTTCCCCATACAAGATGCCCCTTCCTCCCCAGTCACAAATGGATTCCTTCTAGAGCAAAAAGGGCTACCCAGGCTGCTAATACCCATCTAAAGGGGTAGGCACCAGGCCAAGGCTCATTCTAACTTGGGTGTCACACCATCAACCAGAAGAACCACCAAGCCACAGAAACTGAAGCTAACTAGTTTATCAGTGATTTGGTCCTGCTCGCTTTAGGCAGCTTTTTTCTTAGATGTATCTGTTAAGATAAGTTTCTTATGAATCCTTTAGGACTGACGCTGTTGAAGAAAATAGCTAAACAGTGATGATGACTGTTACGGTAAAAGTTCACCTGAACCCTGGCTAAGCTACTTGGCCCCCATCCAGGGGACAGACTCAGAGCTACCAGACCTTTGTTTCTTGTGTCCTGCTAGTTACAGTGAATTAGCTCCACGATTTGACGAGGGCGCACGGGATGATGGCACAATAGAGGAGGCTGCCAAGTATTCATTCTGTTGCTAAGTGATCATTCAAAAGAATATATATTATTCTTCATGGAACATAACTTTCTACAAATGAAATTTGGGGACTCACATGATTCAAGGTCAAATATTAAACATTAGCTCCTTCACTTCCACCTGCCATTTTCATTGTAAGGGAAAGCCTCTTGTTTATACTACTGTGAGCCACAGTGCACTTTGAAGATCAAGAGGTCCCCTTCTCTGGCTTGGCTTTAACTGTCAGATGGAAGCCTCAGACTTTTGCACTTGAGGTCATCTAATGTCTTCCAGTGTTTGTAGTTATCGGCCAGGTGCTGCATCAGGGCTGGCAAATGTGCAAAGGCTGCAGGACATGAAAGAATCAAGAGAAGCCCATTAAATTATGTTGGATCCCAGGAGTGTTTACTAGGCTGGGGTATGCTGGGAATAGAATTGGAGGACAGAAACCCAGGATTAGGCCTCAGGCTACAAGCGAAAACAAGCGTAAGAAGAACGTGTCTTTACACAGTTTCTGAAATACGAATGGGGCCTTCTAGTTGGTTGAAAAGCTGTTCATCAGTGATATTATAAAAAGAACCTGTGGCTCACTGTAGCTGCAATACACTTTGTATTCTTTCTGGAGTTTCCTGCAATGAGAAATTAAAACTGCTGTCTACACTGGGTGCCAGTGACTCAGGTTCAAGGTTAGCCCAGGCAAATAGTTCTTGAGAGCCTATCTCAAAAATACCCAACACAAAAAAGGGCTGGTAGAGTGGCTCTAGTGGTAGAGTCCCTCCCTAGCAAGCATGTGGCCTTGAGTTCAAACTCCAGTACCACCAACAAACAACAAAAATACTGCTGTCCATTTTGGAAATGTGTCTTTTGAAGAGGCAAGGACTTATTTATCCAGTTATCATACATCCATTGATTCTTCTGTAGTCAAGGTTCTGTGCCAGGTGCTAGGGACACAGAGTACACATACCCACACCCTACCTGGCCACAGAGAGCTGACAGGTTTTTTTAACATTTCTTTTTTTAGGTCCAGTTGTATTATCAATGAGTGTCTTCATAAGGTATAACTAATGTTCTTTGTGAGGAAGAGGCAGTAACTAACTTACCATCCCAGGCATCAAACATGTCCGTTATGAAGTAGTCAATGAAGGAGATCTGGGACTTGGGGATGCTGCAGGTATTGCGGTCGAACACTGGCATCACCACAGGCAGCCCCTGTCTCTTCTCCTCGTCCGTCTACAAGAAAAAAAACACCACTATACAGGGCTGTGGGGCACATGAGCAGTCTTCACGATAACAGCTTGTTTCTCAGAAGAAACCCGTGAATGTGGGTCATTGTCCAGTTTTATGCATGGAGAACCGGACCCTGCAGGACCCTGAGACTTAAGATGAGCTGCGGTGATTACTGTCAGGTCTTCTGACTCTGTGTGTGTGTGTGTGTTACTGGGGATGTAAGTCAAGGCCTAGTGAATGCTAGGCAAGTGCCCTACCACTGACCTACACCTCAAGTCCTGGGGTCTTTTTATCCTATTCCATGACCCTTCCTGAAGCACTGATCTGTTTTTATTATTATCGGGTCAAAACTACATTCAAAGTCTGACACATGCTCCTCCTTACACCACTCCTGCCAAGAGTGCAGAAGCAATGGTGGTCAGGTGACTGGAGCCTCAGCATGAACCAGGCACTGTCACCAAATGGTATCAAGAGCAACCATCACTGCGTCACTCACTGCCACATGCCCACAGTTCTTAAAAAACAAGAGTCTCTGGGCTGGCAAGTTTCTCAAGTGGTAGAGCACCTGCCTAGTAAGCATGAGGCCCTGAGTTCAAACCCCAGTGCCACCAAAAAAAAGGGACATTTTGGACTGGAGGTTTGGCTCAAGTGGTAGAGCCCCTGCTTTGCAAGCGTGAACCCCTGAGTTCAAACACTGGTTCCACCAAAAAAAAAAAAAGTGACCTGTTTAAAGCAGTAAGAATGACCAATTTTATTAAATCTCCACCTTTGAGTATGTGTCTTTGAACTATTCTGTGTGACAAAACAGAAAGTACACCGAAAGTCCTTGTGCAGCACGCACACCAGAGCTAGATGATCTCTCTGGGATTAGCACCTGGGCAATTGAGTGGTGCACTGAACTAGCTGCTTTTTTCCATGGACTACTATTTTTACTTGAAAGACTGGCAAACTATGATTGTTCAGATTTGGTTATTAACCATGAGTTCTTAAGGTGTGCAGAGATGGTAGAATTAGGCCCATAAAAGTATAAGTAATTCACTAAGCTGAGTAGTAAGATCCACGTTGTCTGGTGGCTTGTTGAGCCGATTAGAGGCTTCATTTGTAACCATTTTGATTTTTAGGTCATTCCTGTGAGGGAAAATGATGCCAAAATTGGAAGCTTATATCAGAGAACTTAACAGTGGTTCTCTCCCATTCTCTCACACACTGTGAATAAGGAGGAGTAGGACTTCAAGTGCTCTCTGTGTGGGTCCTGGGAAAGCCCATTAATGGCCTCTTATCAGTTTTTGGCTGAGCACTCAGATGATCAAGCAGCCTTAAAATATCCACTGGTGTTCAAGGAGTAATTTGGTTTCCTTCCTCTTCTGGCAAGCTCAGAGCCACCTGTCCTACTTTTCCTCCATTCAGGGGCTCCTTCGTAGCCTTCAAAGCTGTAGGTAGCTTACTGGTTCTCTTCTAGCCATTTCCCTTCCCGCCCTTCGAGACATCATCTGCTATCCTTTATACTGCCTCGACAGTAAAGTCCAGCCAGACCCCTTCCCCCATGAATCAATTGGGGCTACTTTCTGTCTTGTGTCACACACATACACATCAGTCCTTAGAGCCCCCCCTTTTTTTTTCTATTTCAAATTGCATCTGGTAGGCTTCTGCTTTGTTTTCTTCTCTTTTTTTTTTCTTCCTTTTATATTGCTTTGCAGCTACAGTTAAAAAAAAGTTGCATATTGCTCCTCTCCTTAGATAAAAATTCTATTTTCCTCCTTAGGAATTTTGCTTAGAATGCTGTTTTCCCAGAATGGCTTTTTCTTCTTCCATTTTTCTAAATCCTTCCTCCAAAAGGGTCCAATACAAAGCCCTTCTTTTATCTAGAAGAAAATCTGAATTCCTATAGCATCTTACATATATGCTTTCTTTAGATGTACTTTTCCTTTCTTATAAACTTGTGGGCCTATCTATGTCTACATCTTCTATCCCTGACCAGATAATGAGGGACCCGTGGCAAGGGATATGTGTTACTCATGTCTGTTCCACAATGTGCCAGCAAAGCCCTCACTAGTAACCTAGTGAGTGAATGGGGGATTTCCCCATTCTCATGGAAGTTCAGGGTCCAGCAATTTGGCGATGAAAATTAGCTTCCAAAAGCTCAGTCTGGGCAGTGATGAGCGCATCAGCCCGTCCTTAAGGGAACCAGAAGTCTACTCTAGACGGGGTGAGCTTCCTCCTTCCAGAGAGGAGGAGCTCACTAATTGATAAAAAGTTACCCCACTGGAGAATGCAGAGTCCTATGACCTGGGCCCATTCCTAGAAGGAAAGCAAAGCTGCCCTAGAGGCAACGCACCTGTGCAAAATATTCTTCAGAGATCCTCCCGGCCCATTCAATGCACAGGTCCAAGGGACGGCACGGGTTGGCCACATCAGCACACTTAATCATCATGCGCTTGATCAGGATTTGGTTTTCAGGAAAGTTCTTCCCAGTAGGATTGCATTCGCAGTCACTGCCCTCAGTCTGGAAAACAGGTGACCAGGTCACGGGTAATGCAAGGTGTCGGCAAAGCCCCTAACGGCTGTCTCACCAGGCACACTTGGGCATGACTGGGACTCAGCAAAAGAGGCCTTTTCTCTCCTCTGTTCATATAAAATATAGTGATACATTTTTTAAAAACACAAAAAATCAATGCAATGTAGAGTTTAAAAGGTGAAGATCCTGTCATCACTTTTAGCCTTTTCCCTGGACGTAACGACTGTAGGCAGTTCTTCCAATTTGGAAAGACACCTTTAAGAAAGAGATTTTCCTTTCTTTTTTTTTTTTTCCCCCAGAAAATTTGTAAAAGCAGAACTTTTGGATACTTTGATGCATTAAGGTGGGAAAATTGCACACACACATGACCCTTCAATTTCTTCATTTTTTAACTTGCACCCCTGCTCTCCAGCTCCCTCTCTCCTGTGACCTTCTGGGTCCCGCCTCTTCCACCCCTCTCTTTGTTTGCCTTAAGGCATATTCTGTTCCTGTGTTTTCTTGGCTTATGTGACTGTGATAAGGAATGTGAACCATGTAAGTTTGGACTCGGGCAGGAGAATGTGTGTTCAGGGACATTTGAAAACATGGTTGTACACTGGTACATACCTAGTGGGGGGATGTCTGTGGTCCTGAGGCCTGTGTTCCGGGCACTGAGTAGGTGGGCACACATTGCAATCACAGGCCAATTACACAGAACCTGGAAAACTATTTTCTACTCTCAAAGGCGCCACTGATTTGATTGTGTGGAAGCAGTTAAAATGGCTCCAAGCAAATAACCACCTTGCATTCAGGAGGGAGAAAACAATTTGCTGCCAGAGCAGATGCTCATGGAAAAGCACTCCGACGTATTTTATTACATGGGAGACGCTCACCTCAGCTGCCAGTGGCTTGTTGATGCTGTTCACAAACTTATTCACATGTTCAAAGTGTTTTGTCATCTCCGTTGCCAAAACCATGTCAATAATAGCCTGACGCAGTGTTCGATAATGGTTCCTAAAATAACAGGAAGACAAAGGGCCTGGTTCACGTCATGTCCCGAATTAGGACTATTCTGCTGCCACTTGACCATGCTTCCCACAAACTGGGAGGAGCTGGGGCAGAGTTAAGTGAGTGCAGAGCAGAAGAGTCCACCTGCTTGTCCTCCCAATCAGCCAGGATCGTAGACCTAGTCCATCTTCCCCAGTGACAAGCCGACCCTTCTTCATGTGAAATACGAGTATTAAAAGAAAAGAGAGTCTGCGTCATGTGGTGGGCACTTATTTTACCAGGTGATTCCTTTCTCCCTTCCCTTTTCCCTTTCCCTCAAGAATACCAGGAAAGGGAGGTAGAGGGCAGTGACAGGTTGGGACGGCCTAAAATAACTGACCTCCATATTTTTCCCAATTTATAGAGAACAAACTTATAAGTTCATGTAGACAAGCAGTCCTGAGGCCCAAGTGAGCTCTGGGTCCTCTCCTAGGACTCTGCTTAGCAGCTAGCTGCTGATGGGCAGGAAGTGCTCCAGCCTGACCACAGGGTCAGGCAGGCAAGAGGAACAGATCCCATCTGGTCCTATCTGGCCAGCTCTCAACGGAAGATTCAGAAAGCCCAGTGGGAGAGAAACCTGCCCAGTCCTTTGGCCTCCAGCACCTCTGCTTGGACTTCCTCATAGATAGGGGTCTAAGTGGCTAAAACCTGAGCTGGAAAGACAGGGAAGAACACATCTTCTTTGAGTACACGAAAGACAGGATGTCCTCGTGGGAGCGTAAAAATATCTGCTAGACTCCTTAGTAATCCGATCAATATTTATGCAGCGCTTTGCAGTGTGTAAAATATTTTCATGAACTTACTGAAGCCTAAATAAGATTTAAAAACATGAAGGCAGTCTACAAGAGTAAAATTACATTTCCAAGGACAAGGTCATTATTTTATCGTCTGTTACAGTGGTACAACTGCTCTGTTCTCCTCCACGTATTCAAAGAAGTCAAGGAAAACAGAGATGACCATTCAGCTTCACAAACGAACCTGTCAATATTCTTGAAAATGTTGCACTTGGTGTCCTTGACCGTGAGCTGGAAGGCCAGGGCTGTGTGGTGACTCTCCAAAACCGCTGTGTCATTGTAGAGCACAGCAAGTTCACTGCCTGCGTTGCACAGGAAAGAGTTGGTCCTTCCCGGGTGGTCCACGTCGTGGACAGTGGCAGCTATCAGGGCTGCTACCTCATCCAACTGATCGAGGCTTCCCTGGGAAAAGGGAGACAACACTGAGCACTACCCACTGGGTTCCATCCCTGTCTTTTGGGAAGCAAAGTGCCAGGGGTAGCTCTGGATTTTCAGAATGTGCTCTGGTTGATAGGTGGTGTAGGATACACTGTATCAGCTTACTGCGCTGTGTGTCTTCTGGAGAGAAATGGAAATCTGAGCTGCAGTTACAGTGGGTGCCTGAACTCTTTCTCCAGAGTTCATTCATTCAATTCTGCAGGAAGAAGCCAAATCAACCTTTTGAATTGCCTGCCGTGTGGTATTTCTGTGACTCCCTTTCATGAGTGAGTACGTCACAAAGTGGCTGTGCTCACACATATTCCCTATTTGCCCACTTCTGAAAAGTTCTTGAGAATGCAAGTAGTAACAACACAGACGTTTACAACGCCACTGTTCATGTTGATGGTGAAGCCCAGAAGTAAGAGGACAAGAGGGGAGAGTAATTTTACCAGGAACCTAAGGGAACGGGTGTGGGCTAGCAGGCTGCAAAGGCAAAAAGAGAAACTTTAAGGCTTTTGTTTTGCAAATTGAGAACCGGGATACACATGTTCTCAGCCTGCAGCTTTCCCAGAGAAAGTTATCAAATAATGGGCTAGTGCTCTATAAGAGACTGCATTGTGACTCTAGTCACTTAGTATTTATCTGATGCCTAAGGGTGCCGGCTATCATGCATAGATCTGGAGCCACAGCAATGATTTATACTGACAGTCTGCACTAACAGAGCTTGTAGTCTAGAGGGAGAAACAAAAATTTAACAACATACAAACAGAAGTAACTTACTGTGAGATGCAAAGGAATGTACAAAGGTTTTGAGAGTATAACCGTAGGGCCAGTCTAGTTTAGGGCAGTACCATCTAATAAAATTTTTATGATGGTGGAGATGTTTTATGGTGGTCCTACCCAGTACAATAACCTTGAGTCATATGTAGCCACATGGACACCTGAAATATGTCCAATACAATGAAGGAAAGAAATGCTTAAATTTGCTTCATTTTAATAGCTATGTGTGGTTAATGGTCACCAATTGGACAACACAGGTCCAGAGTGTGGCCAGGGATGGCTTCTCTAAGGAAGTGATTTTTTTTCTATACTGAGGCCTGATGGATAAGCAGCAAGTAGCCAGGCAATAAGTGGGAAGGGAGAAAAGTCCAGGCAGAAAGAGCAGGAGATGACACTCCTGAGAGCAGACGAACAAGCAAAAGTCTTTATTTGGAAGCCCCAAGAGCATCACTGTGGCTACAAGACAGTGGATGAGGGTGAAAATGGTCCCTAGGATGAGGCTGGAGAATTGGGCATAGTGTTTGATGTTTCCAACTTGTTCCTCTCCATAAGCTTGTGGGAGGAAAAATGAGTTCTCAGGTGAGGAAGGCTAAGCGTGAAACTCAGCCCTGCCCTGTACTAACAGTCCGACTGGAATTTGGGCTACACCTACTTGTGTTGGTTAGGGTTACATGCTTGGAAGCTCTGTCCCCTGCCCCTAAGAAGGGAGCCATTTCCATTTAAAAACTTAACCTCATAGAGCTGGTGAGCTATTCTGACTTGGTCCCAGTCACTATGGCCAGGGTTCCTGAGCAGTGACAGATGTTATTCTTTTCAGCTTTCGTCAAGGTGGAGTCTATAGTGGCCTGGGCAAGCACACATGATTGGCCCCACTTCACTGGTGTCAAGAGAGGCCACTATTACCTGCAGGTACAGTCTGTTGCTTCCAAGCTCAGCACCCAGAACTTCTCCTTCAGCTATTCTACCCTTGCAATGAGGACCCCGGGAGGCCCACAATCTGGGCCTCCAGCTAGTGCTTCTACAATATGTTCAATCCTGCTGGGAGTCTCAGGCCAATTTATTTTTAAATGATTCAATGAGAGATTCAAGTAGGTGGGTAGAAAATACAAACAGCCCTAGGTGAGACTGGCCTTCAGTGATTTAACCCAAAAACTCATTGACAATGGCACTATTACAAAGGTACCAATAATGGGCAGTGTCCTGCAATTTGCTGAGCACTAACTGTGTACTACCTGGTAAGAAGTGGCTGGGAGGTAGGGAAAGAGGACCAAGCAAGCTCACCAGCAAGGAGAGAAGAGAAGCAAGATTCTTCCTATGTGTGCAAAGGGGAAACAGTCTATAAAAGAAAGAAACCCCCACAACCTTGCAGCTAGTAAAACTCCAAACCCCTGGACGTGTGGACATGCCTGCATAGTTTTTTTTTTCCCTTCTTTAACCAGGAAAAACAGATTCAGGTCACTCTGAGGAAGAGGTGCCAGGACAGGCTCCATTATGGGTCAGCTTTTCTAGCTGTTTCTTATTTAGGATAGTAACTTAGGCCAAAGAGTAAAAAAGGAGTGATGGTTGCCCTGGCCTCTCCATTTGCAGTGGGTCTCAGGAATGAGGTGACAGCAGGGAGACCATGAGGACTGTAACAAGCTGAAGGGACCTGTCTCTTCTGGATGTTGTCTCTATGGCTAAGCTGAAGATGCTTTGTAATAATGACATTAAGAATTATAGCCTTGGGGCTGGGGATGTAGCTTAGTGGTATAGCATGTGCTTAGCATGCCTGAGGCCCTATGTTCAGTTCCCAGAAATTAGCAGGACAGATGATGCAAGGAAGAGGTAAGAACACATTTTCCTGACCCTCTTTGTCAGTGGGAGTAGGTCTGATGAAAGAGACCTCAGGAGTAAATACCACTGGAAGCACTTCTTGCTGGACTGACAAGTGAATGTGGGTTGGTGACTGAACATCTGAGCTCAGGAGGAGCCCCTGAGTCTCCAAGGCTCCTTGCAGATCTATGTTTTCTGAGTCTTTTGCAGGGACTGCTAGAGTCTGAAGACATCTTTTAAGTTGTAAGTACATTATATCTATATAATATATCTAGTCATAGCCTTCTTCCTAGGGCTGTAGTTTGAGAAATTCAATCAGGCTCTGCATGAGCAGAATGCTCAAGTTTAAAAAAATACTTTGGTGGAGAGGTAGACAGATGATGGTCTGACTAAGTGGTCCTTAATTTATGGTGCATTTTGTCTCAGTATTCCTAGAGAGGCTGTGCTTAAGGGAGGTTCACCTCACATTCCAAACTGTGGTGGCAGGAACCATTCTGGTCTTGATGACCTTGGTGCTATTCTCAGTTGGCAGAGGGCCCTCAGATGTGTAACATCTCACACAGTGAAATGGGGGAGCAGAGAACCCACCCAGGGATGCAGAGGTGTTATGGTTCAGAGAGAGGTTTTATAAACACAGGCTGATACCATGATTACTTTTTTGTTTTTTAAGTAGAAGGCAAAAAATTTTCAAAACTATCATTCTTGGACCACCCAAATTCTTTCCTTTCTTGCTGAAATATAAGGATGAGTCTTTGGCAAAACTGAGAAGGACCGTTTTCTACCTGTTTTGCTGTCATTTCTGCTTCTTCAACCTGTCCCACTAGCTTGTCTCCATAAGCACTTAAGTCTTAATCACTCATCAGCCCTCTTCCAAGAAAACAATCTAATTAATGTCAGGTGTTCAACGACTGATGTGAATTTCAGTAAACAGATTATAATTCTCCTAAGAGTATCTCAATTTGTTTCTGTGGTGCTGGCGATTGAACCCAGGTCCTCATCCATGCTAGGCAAGCACTCTACCTTGAGCTACACCCCAAACCCTAAATTTTAAGCTGTAGTTCTAATTATAGCAAAGGAATTACAAACTTCGTTGTGTGAATGAGTACAATTTTGAGGGCAGGGGTGATAGGACCTCCTACTGGCTTTCCATAGGGACTATGTGTGGCTATCCTATAAGTCAGCATCCATGCATGACAGCACTGCATAAGACAAAGGGGTGTGGGACTCTTTCATAATTAGGTGAAAGTCACTGATAACAGATATATACACTCACATCTACACCAAACACACACACGTAGGCCTTTAAGTCAGTAGAATACTGAATGGCTCATTATTATCAAAATCCTGGTGCTGAAATTGAACCCCAAGACCTAGGAATCATGTGTTGTAGTACTCAAATTCTGTCTTGCAGCCCAGTTGCACAACGGTCCTGGTGAACAAGTGGAGCACAGGTCACAGGTCAGCCACACATATAAAGGAGTCTCTTCAGTGGCATAGATTAATATTTAAAGCATTTGGGAGAGGGAAGGTTCAGAAAAAGGTCCATGTCTTTAGCACACTGAAAACTAATTTGGTAAAGGAAAAAAAAAAAAAAAAACCTGTCACATTGGTTGCAAAATAGCTGTTTGCCAAATGTACTTATTGAGTGCTTGTATCTCTAAATCAGACAGGCAGCCAGATCGTGATAGCAGAATTCTACCTTCACTCTCTCCTTTCCGAGGAAGAAAGCTGTGGCGTGCAGGACGTCTGCGGCGTGGGTGGAGTTGTGGTAGGCATTGGAGGAGTGGTAGTTGGCTTCAATCACTTGCAGCCAAGCCCGAAGAGTAGTTTCAGTACAGTTTAAAAATTCACATACTCCGAAACGGGAGAAGACCTTTAAACCCAGGTAAACTAATGGCCTAAAAAACAGAAGAACAAACCCTGTTTCATTGAATTCACTGACTCAGAACTTGTTTTGTGTGATAGTACTGGGGAATGGAGGCATCTTTTTTTTTTCTCTGTTTATACCACACACTTGGGGCATAAAAACATCTCCCACATTTTCCTAGCAGCCCCCTCTTTGGAACCAGGGGCCTCATGAGAGTCGTCGAAATTATATCGAGATTTTATCTGTAAGGTCACAGGCTATTAGAAGACTCAAGGTCCCTGGCAACCCCTCTCTACATCCACTTCCACAGAAACCTGTACTCACTTTATGCCACAGAGGAAGTTACTAAGCCTGTGGACAAAAGAAAGGGCTGGAGTGGTCTCAGCAGAGTCACATCATGTAGAGAGTCATCACTTATTTACAAGTAAGCCATTCCTTCCTACAGACCAACAATCTGGGAAGAAACAAGCTCCTAGCATCAAAGAGGTCTTTCTAGTTTTCTCATCTGTCCCCTGCCAATAGGATGGATTCAAAGAAAAATCTATGGTGCTTTCAAATTCTTTTTTTTTTTTTTTTTTTTTGAGATGGGGGTCTCACTATGTTGCCGAGGCTGGTCCTGTACTCCTGGGCTCAAGCAAACCTCCTTCCTCAGCCTCCCAAGTAGCTGGTGTATGCCACCAAGCCCTGCTTCAAATCATTTTGTAGGGTGGAGCTTCAACAAGTTTGGGTCTGAGAAAACTTCAAGCTCTTGCCTCACAAGCTCAAAAGAGTGATCCAAATAGAACTGAAGACATGCACTCTGATCCTATACCTTACCCACTAGCACGGGGGCATGGCTCAAGTGGTAGAGGGCCTGCTTAGCTTGTGCAAGGTCCTGGGTTCAATCCCCAGCACCACAAAAAACAAAAAGACAAAACCATATCTTACCCACTAATACTCCCTCTCCATAAAGGGGCTTGCCCAGGCCACATGTCTCCCTCAAAGTTTCCAAATAGAAAGGCCTGGAGCATGGCCGTCAACCTTCCCCAGCCTGAAGCCAGAGACCTCACTTACCTTTTATGCGTAACTGCTTCCAATTCGAAGATGTTGAAGTCCCAGCTCTCCTCATTATCAAGTAACTGAGCAATGGAAGGAGGGACATCATTGATGGTAATCGGCATTGGGAGGTGGCTGTGGCTCTGGTGTACGTCTGAGCAAACAGATGGGGTAGGAGGCTGGTTAGTGGTAGAATCTTGAGTGCTCCCAATCATCTGTCATCAAGTTCACGGTTGCTACTACAAAGTCTTGCACTTCCCAAGGCAGGAAGACACCAAGGGTCTTCTCTTATTTCATGAAAACTCAAGACCTCTATACTGAAAAATAATGCAGTTTAACTTCCTGTTCAAATGTAGACAGAGTTGCAATTCTTATTCTAACATACTCAGAGAAGTAATTTTAATAAGGAGACCTCGTTTCAAACGTAGACAACAGAGATGCATAAACTCCATGAGGTCAACTGGAAGCAATGGCAAGGTCCTCCCAGAATCATAGTCACAACTCTGAGGGTGGCACACACCTGAGACAGGTTATTAGGAACAAGTGACAGATGAAAACTTACTCTTTGTAAACACATACTCGTTTCCTGACAACCTTCTCAAGCCATCCTGGAACACAGAAATGCTGTTAGAAGCATACTTTACATCCTGTCATCGTTCTTTCGTTTCCTTCATTAGCCAGTGGTTTGAATCCTGAATAACTCAATCAAACTAAAACTCCATCAGAGTGATAGCTGTGAGACAGACAATACTCTCCATTCCAGGGCTGAAACTCCCAGGAGGTGGAGAAGAGGGTACAAAGTGGATATGACCACATGCAGATCTCATGCCTGAGCTGGGAGTTAGCTCAATCCTCATGGCCTCTTTCTCTTCTGGCATTCTGAAGCCACTTACATGAAATCACAGAAGTGATCTTCCTTTGGATACATAGAATTATGTTGTATCCAAAGGAACTGTTGCCATTCCTATGTTCTCAGATTGACATTGTGAAGAATTAGGCCATGGGTCACATTGTGGGGATAACCTTATAAAGGAAAAGGTCTTTAAAAAGTTGGGCTAATTTTTTACTAATATCTAGACTAATTTTTTCTAATACATTTTCTAATTACATTTTGTCTTAGACATAAGTATTGCTACTAGCCTTTTTAAAAAAATTTTTTTGGCAGCCCTGGGGTTTGAACTCAGGGCCTCATGCTTGCTAGGCTGGTGCTCTATCACTTTTGCCCTCCGCCACTCTGCTACTAGCCTTTTAAAGAAAAACTTGTAGATTTGAAATCTTTGGAGAGGCAGAGTAAGAGCAGACAGAATTCCAGTGTTCTGTTATTTACTGGGCCTTGAATTTGAACCAACCCCAGATGTTCGGTTTTCTTGCCTCTACCTTCTATCCCTGAGTACATCATTATTTAGATATTTGCTTAAAGTCATTAGAATTGTTTGTTATCCACAGAGAATGTGTGCTAAAGTGTAAAGAAATATTAATTAACAAAGGGCTACATGGAAGTCACTTCTTGACCTTGTAGGCCAAGAGCTTAATCTTTAAAAATGGATAAATAGAGGCTGAACACAATAGCTCAAGCCTATAATCCTAGTTATTCAGGAACTGAAGACTGGGAGGAACAAGTTTCAAGGCCAGCATGTGGTGGGCAGGGAAACCCCATCTCAACCAATGGCTGGGCACAGTGCTGTGCACCTGTCATCCAGCTATGCGGGGAAGCACAAATAGGAGTATGATGGTCCAGGCATAAAGTAAGACCCTATCTCAAAAAGAACTAATGCAAAAAGAATTGGCGGAGTGGCTCAAGGGGCAGAGCATCTTCCTAGCAAGCATACAAGGCCCTGAGTTCAAACTAGTACTGGAAAAAAAAGGGTAAGTAGATTAGTCACAACCAACTGTCCTGCCTCTAAGGCTGTTATGGCAGTTCCCCTATTTTTTTCCTTGCTTTTCTCCCTCTACTTTCCAAAGCCACGTAACAATGAGGTGGGGTCTCACACCAGGTCCTAACAACATTTTCTGGACAGGGACCCATGATAGCCTGATTGTAGCAGCCTCTTCCTGCAACTAGCTTCCCCCAGTGTCAGTTCACAGGAGTTCTCATCATGCTAGGCTCTTGGCAGTGTTTTCAAAAGCAAGCATATGTTGCATTGGGATGGGACAACCAAGGACAGCCCTGGGGCAGGAAGGATCAGGGCATTCAAAGTACAGGAGGGGAATGGACCAGAAAACTAGTCACACTAAACTTTTAGAGATGGGGTTAGGTGGAAACCTTCAAATTAGAACTAACTTCTGGATGACTCTTGGGCTTTGTTTTCTGCTAAAGAATTCTAGCTTCAGCCTCTAATGAGGAGCTCAAATGAATAATGTGACTTTTCTTTTTTGTCTTCATTTGCCAATAGATGATTGTTAAAACCAAATGGACCACAGAAAAATACTAGAGCAGCTCCCCAGGGTACCATACATGGTGTATCTTGGAGTTGGCAGGGGTGGCCTTCCTCACCTCCTCATGGTGAGCCAGAATGGCTTCACACTGCTTTTATCCAAGTGTAGATGGAACTTATACATACACTTTTATCTTTGGAAAGATTCTGTATCCAAGAGTTGGGAGGCTGTTGTACAAACCCATTCTTTGTACAGTCTTTCCTTGATATCCTGGGGGTTGATTCCAGAACCACCCCCAGACACTAAAATCTGTGGGTGCTTAAGTTCTTTATATAAAATGGCATACAACCAACGCACATCCTTCTGTATACTCTGGGTGTCATATGATGCCCAAGACACTGAAAATGCCATGTAACAAGTCATAATGGTATGGTTCGGGGTTCCGCAGAATAGGTTCTGGGCCTCTCTCTCATTCTATGCCCCTTCTAGAAATAACATTTCATTTCCATGACTCTGGACACCTATGATCAACAGCCAGACTCTCAAGCTTACCTCCCAGGCCCTGGACTTGTGGATTGCAATGTCTGCCTGAGCTATCTACTGGAATACCATACTTACATGTCTAAAGCTGAACTTATGGTCTTGTTCCCCTCCCCCAAAAGAAAGCAAATAACAAGTCTGTACCAGTTTGGTACAGATGAAGCTTTTTTAAAAGCTTCAATCTGTGGTTGGTTAAATCCACAGATGTAAGCCCCATGGATATGTAATGCCAACTCCCTATGGTCTGAGGTCCAAGGAAATGCAGCTTTGACCTTCAAATTGATACCATAACCCAGATCAAAGGGAAGCAGCAGCAAAACAGGGCCTGTGTGTGTGTATAGCCCCATCTTGCCTATTTAGCCCCTGATCACTTGCTGATTTCCTCTCTACTGCATCAGGAATTCTGCAGGACTCTCTCTCACTGCTGTGGTCAGAACTCTTGTGGCAGATAAATGCAAGAATCATTGAGGTACCACCACAAATACATTACAGAAATTGATGCAGCTGCCTCAGTTATACTGATGTTCATCTTTACAACAGGTAACAGTTCACATGTGGGATGGACTCAAGAGAGCACTTAGTGTGGCCCTCCTGTATTTCTGGGGTTTTCTCATCACTCACAGTCATCAGGCCTCCAACAAGATCGCTGGTGTGAGGATCTTCATCTTTGGTACCCAGCTGAGGAGAGTACAGTTCTGTGGTCCGTAAAATTTCTAGAACTCGGTCCAAGGCTTCTGCTACTGTGACTGGGCTGTTTTCTTGGGCCGCATTGATTATATTGATAACCTTAGGAAGAGACAGAGAGTAAATTTGAAGATGTTAAGATGCTATTTTCCCAAAATCAGATATTGCCCTGAATCCGAAAGAAATCAAGTGATCACACATCTTGTTGTTCAGAAGGTCTCACCCCCTCCTTACTGAATGCATGCTTTACATCTGGTGCTGTCCTATGCCCTCCCACTTTGGGACCACATCTTCCAGGCTTTGTTGACCTTCTCCTCTACCTCTCTTCTACAATTTGGAGTTCCTCAGAGATCACTTTTTGGGCCTCTTTCTCATTCTATGTCCTTCTAGAAATAACATCTCATTTCCATATAAAATAAAATGTTATTTCAGACTCTCAAGTTTACATTCCAGGCCCTGGACTTGTAGATTTGAATCCTGTCTGACCTATCTCACTGAAATGTTTGAAGCTAAACTCATGGTCTTGTTCCCCTCCCCACAAAGCAAGCAAATAACAACAAAAGCAGTGAAACCAAAGACCAAATCTGTTCTCCAGTTTCCACACTGCAGTAGAGACCCTCCTCCCCTGCATGCCATACTACTTTCCCTCATTCCTTCCCCCACCCTGACAACTCCTCACCAAATCCAGTTGATTCTACCCATAAAAGTTTCTTGATCTATTAATTTATTTCCATGTCCACTGGCTTAATTCTAGCTTAGTAGCTACCACCATTTTTTTGCCTAGAGTTTAAGGAAAGCCTCAACTGGCCTCTTCTCTTGCACTCTTACCAACTCCATCCATTTTTGTACAGTGGCTGGGTATTCTTTTCTGTGACACAAGTGCCTGTTCACATCACCCCTCCCTTTAAACTCCTCAGTGGTTTTTGTGGCACAAAACTAAGATACAAATCCCTTATTATGGTCCAATTGACCATGACCTGAGCCTCAGGTAACCCATGCCACCATCATCTCCCCTCTGCTGTCTGTGCTTCTGCCTTCCTTCTGGGTCACATAGAAAAGCACATCAGTGCTGTTCCTACTCTCTGAAGTCCTCTTTTCCCAACCAGCACACTTCTTGGGCTTCAAGTTTTGCTTCAAAAATTACTTCCTTTATAGAGAAATCTTCATTGACCATCCCTCTCACCCATCCTGTATCTGGGCCCTACTGTCATTTCTCTCACAGAGCCCTGTGGTTTTCCTTTGTAGCACTTACTCAAATTTGTAACTATAGATCTATTTATTATGTGCTTATACTTTAGTATCTGTTTCTCTCACTAGACCATGAATGACATGAGTAGACTGCATCTCTAGAACATAGCCCATGGCTGGCAGCCCTCCCTGGAGAGTGGAGGTAGCAGCTGTCACTAACCTTTGTGATGGGAGCCTCAATGGTCATGGAGTGGATCCTTGCCATGGAGGGATAGCGACGGTTCTGTAGGCTTGGTGCTGGAGAGAAGGTAAGAAAGTCATATCTGATTCTGGTGCCTCAGTTTTGGCTAAGAATAGCTAAGAGGTCCCTTCACAGATGGGGCCTGATTCTCCCAGAACTACCCTCCCTGCAAAACCACAACGGATCCTCCCATCTCTTGTTCCTCAAAGTCTGAGCCCTCAGCCGCCACTTGCTGAGTCTGGAGGGTGTACTGGTCTGGAACGCTGGAGGCAGGAGGGCATGGTGAGCTCAGGGGCCACAGGAGAATTCAGAGAAGGTTGGTGAGCTTGTGAGGCTTCATCCCAACAGCTGAACAATCCCCCAGAACTCGCTTTTCCAGGTCAATAAAGCCCCCCTTGAGCAGTTCTACCACTTTTGTTCCTATCCCACTGGCCATGTGACCAGCTACCTGTACAACATGGCCTCGAGGAGCAGCTGGGTTCATGGCAAGTGTGGGGGGCAGGAGACCAGTGGCTCTCAGTGTGAACTGGGGCCAGTCATGCTTCCTTCCTGAGCCTTTAAGTTTGTAACACTTAACGTTTGATGGCTCTAGCTCTGATCTTAGAGACTTTCATTTTAAAATGCCTTTATTTTTAGGAATGGTAATGCTTACAGCTGGCTTAAGAGTCAAATGGTAGAAGCCCTCCTACAAAAGCACTGTTTTCACCACCCTTCTCACCCTTCTCCATGGGGTAGGCAGGACAGTTAGTCCTCATTTTGGAGATGGGAGTTGCCTCTGCTGCAGTGTCGGTGCGGCAGCCACTCCGTCCTTTCCTGTACTCTTCCACCTTTACTTCTCCCGAGCTAGACAGATGACAATTGCATCTCCAAACCTGCTTCCAAACCCTGAGCCAACCCAGTTCAAATCGCTGCCTTCTCCATTTTACACGCTCTATCTAACTGTACCCTCACCGTGCCGCAAGATATTCCATCTATTTTCTCTTCTTCACATTCTTGGTCTCAATCATTTGCATGCCATGTATGTCAGTCTGTCTTGTTCTGTAGATTGTCTACCTTGTCTTAGGCATCATCTGGCCTTGCTATTTTAGCTGTTTTCCTTATATTTGGCCTCCCCATTGTGACCAGAAGGCCTGAAAAGTCCTTCATTTGACCTTTCTATTCATTCCTTTAAGTCACCACTCTGCATTTCTCCCTCTTACCACAGGCACTCATTAGCCTCTTCTCATGCTCTAGAACCTATCTTCCAGTTATCAAATAAAAATCAAATGAAAGTTGTGGGGGTCTCAGTGGTAGAGCGCTTGCCTAGCTTGTATGAAGCCTTTGGTTCCATCCTTCGCAACACACACACACACACACACACACACACACTCAAAAAAGAGTAAGTGAAGTATCTCAGCCTGTTCACAGCCCTTGAGCCCTGATCTCTGTAGCATTTAACACTCTGGCCACCCCCCTTTCTCTCAATACCCCCTCATTCTTGATTCATGTGACACTGTACTCACACGGCTCACCCAGCTATTCTGTCCTCTTCAACATCCCTACTTCCTCTGCTTCCCTTGAGGTGCTCCTGTAGGCTTGGGCTCTGACTCTTCTTTTCCTGTGCCCACACTTGCAGAGTCCTTAGGGAAGCCCCTATGCCACTTTCTTGACGCACATCTCCCACTTTGAGGCCCAGTCCTACATCTCAGCTTCCCAGGCATCTCCACTAAAATCAGACTCATCCTTTTCTCCTCAACCTCCAATCAGGCTATGCTGATAGAGGCTCCCTTTCTATCAATATTGTAATTTCTCAGGCACTTAGGAATGACATTTCAGAATCACCTTTGACCTTTCCACTTCCCCCAAAATTCAATTGGTTACTTAGAGCTGATTCATTGAACTCAAATTTTTTGCAGCCAGGTGCCAGTGGCTCATGCCTATAATAGTAGCTTCTTGGGAGGTTGAAATCAGGAGGATCAAGGTTCAAGGCCAGTCCAGGAAAATAGTATGAAATGGAACACCTGCTTTGTAAGTGCAAAGTCCTGAGTTCAAGCTCTAGTCCACTAAAAAAAAAAAAAACCCACAAAGTTTTACTAAATTCTTTCAAGACAGAAATGTTTTGCTGAATGCTGACTCACAGTTTCTGTGACACTGTATTAAGAGAAAGTTAGTGCATATAGCAGGAATAGTGAGAAATGGTGTGTGCTGGAGTTGGGAAACCTGGACACTGCCCCTAGCCTTTGCCACTAGCACCCAAGAATGACCTTGGTTGGCTATTGAAACTGTATTTCTTGGGTGGTTATGTGGCCTGACATACTTTAGGCCATGAAAGCATAAACATGGGGTCCCTTTAAGGAGCACACAATGATAGTAGAAGGCATAGAAGAATTTTGTTTCTAATCCAAAAAAACCCAAAACAAACAAACAAACAAAAACCTTTTAGATTTCTGGGGGGAAAAGCCAGGTTAGATCTTTCTTCTTGGAGTTTATGCTGGTAAAATTCTTGAACATATTCTGCTGTCACTTTCTACATCTTAAAAAGGTCAATGAAATCTGAAAACCTTCTCACCGTCACTGCTCCGAGACGATATCGATTTGACATCAATGGACTCTTTCCTCCTGCTCTTGTATCTGAATGAATGAGGCTCTGAGGATTGCAGATTAGAAATGTAAGGTAATTAGTTTTCCATATTCATAAATGAAGTTTATACTTTTGCCTTGTTCTCCAAAGAAAACAAGTTTACTTTTTAAGCACTAGAAAATAATTTTAAGAAATAGCCATTTTCTCATTGAATTATCAAGGCACACAAAATGATGCCTTTTCTTCTGGTTCTACTTTACATTGTGGAAATGGAGTTTATCAAGGATTATTGAGTTCCATAAGTAAAATGTCATTTTGAAAATAAACATTAAAACGTCAGGGGAAGGTTCCTCTTGATGTGAAGCACTGTTTTCAACTGGGTGGGATTTTATTTTGAGGAAATGAAATCCTAGTGAAATCCAGAGATATTTTGCTTTACTTGAGAAACTAATTCAGACCAGTTTGGGTCACTTCTGAAAAGTAAGACCTAGATGGTCTTCTAGGTTTTTTGAGAATGGGTTTTGTCAAATGGCGTGTGTCCTGCTGGTCGTGGAAAAGAAGAGGAAAAAAAGCTTTATATTTTTCTAACAGCTAAACTCGCACCCTTGTCTTTATTTTCTGAGGAGGGAGAATCATTTAAAAATTCTCCACAGTCAAGTCTTTGCAGACTTCGAACTTAGCAGTGAAAATGTTCTGTCACATTAATGCAAAACTCATGTATCACCAGTGAGCACCAAGGTATAAAAACTGTCAAGGTGGCAGTGATAGCCTTGGAAAGGTGCATTTTCTGGGTATTTGCTTCTTGAGGAGTAACTCATGAGCAAGAAGGGAAATGTGGCAATAATACAGAATGACTCCTTACTATGCTAACAGGAGGCAGACAATGCAGGTTCTAGCAGGAGAAGTGCATTTCTCAGACACCAATAAATGGTCACATTCCAAGCAGGAAAAAATGGTGCAACAATGCTTCCTTCAGGATTGCCTAGTGACATCATAAAGGTGATAGTCTAATAGTTAAGAGAACCAGCTTCAGAGCCAAACTGCTAAAATTCAAACATCCACCGTGCCATCTGGCAGCCATGCTGCCCTGCGATTGTTACTTTCCTGTGTCTCAGTGTCCCACCTATAAAGAGGGGATAATTGTAACTTCTCAGTCATAGGCTCTTGTGGGAAATAGCCCTTAGAAGAGTGTCTGCCTCATAGTAAGCACATACAGCATGCCAGCTACTATTAATCACATCTGTTCATTTGCATGATATACATAGGATGCTATCATATAGTTTCACTAATATCTTACACACTTTTCAGTCGCATTTTACTATCCTAAGATATCTGTGCAACCAAAAAATGTTAAATCAGTAACTAAGCCTAAATTACATTTATACAGCAGGAAACAAAGTCAGAGCTGTAATAAAGTTAATCTGAATACCACAGCCACGAGGCCTTGTCTTAAATCATCTAACTTGAAATACTATGACTCTTCAACCTAATATTCATCTTCCAGATTCTATCTTAATAATTTTACAATCCTTGGTTACAAGTTTCAGTATTTCTTTTAGGATTTCATATTTCTATCTCCACAGATGGAAGTAATTTGATGTTATCAGATCATACGGCATTGTTCAAACCCTGAGAAATAAAATTGGTCACTCACAAGACACTTGTTTTTAGCCTATTCAGGGACTTAATAATCATATACAATCATATTTGTTTACCAAATAACAAATTAAATCTGACATAAAGACTGAAGATTAAATTCACTATTAGAGAAACCAAAATTTCTTGAAATATAATTTCTAAATAAAACTGAAGTTTCCAGGCAGTGACCCAGGCTGGCTGACTGAATTTGAAATCATTCATTAGAATTATTTAAAGATAGATGATGCTTATGCTTCCTGAGTTTACCTCAGCATTAAGAGAACCTATAGCACTAGAAATAGAAGTTTGGAGAAGTTATTCTTCAATAAAGGCTAAAGGAAAGCAATTTACATCAAAGAACTCATTATTCATTCTTAACAGACACCTATAGAATGAAATAGAAACTTAAGGCAGATAAAAGAAAAATAAGTGAGATTTAAATAGCTATACTTGGTGACAAAAAAGGGGTACTGTGTCACTTGAGTACCTACTATGCACCAGGCATTGTGCTATATACTTAAAATAGAGTAATCATCTCACTTAATAATTCCAACAATTCAGAAAGCTTCATAGTGCTATTCCCATTTTACTGATAAGGAGTTTATGCTTAGAGAGACTATATAGGTAGGCCAAGGTCAAAGAGCTGATTAGTGGAGGAATCTCTGTTTTCCAAGATGGAAGGTTTCAACCGATCAATGCTCTGTGGTACATATTGAGAATTTACAATGCTGAGCACAGCAAAGGACACTAAAAGGCTTACTATAGTTTTTGGCACAGAGATAGTTGTATGTTTGCTATAATAATACCATCATTCTAAGTGCTATGAGAAACTAAGACATCTGAGAAAGTGTGCGTGTGTGTGAAGTGTCTTCTGTCATCGAAGGCTGTTCTGGCCTAGAAAATGTTCTTTAGAAAAGGAGATGGAAGATATCATACAGTTAAAAGCCAGGTACTGTTAGATAGTGTGCACTCTTTCCTCTTTAGTCCTCATTAATAACAAGATGGGCACTGTTAATTCATTTTACAAATGAAGACACTGATGGTAAGAATGAATATGGTTTTTCTGGGCAGGCTAAATGTGGCTGTTCTAGAATGAAGGAGAGGAACCAATAATTATCAGTGCCCAGAGTCTTATTTTAGGCACACCAGGGAAGAGAATGGTTACCTACAATTCTTTTAGATTCAAGAATTTCTAATCTTTAGTATAGACTGGTTTTTTTTTCCCCTCTAGTGGTCAGATAATTCCAGGCCTTTCCACAAGTAGAAGTCATCAGGTCCAGTCCCTCATTTTGTGGATGAGAAAACCAAGAGTCAGATAGAGTCTTGCCCAAGGCCTGAGACAAATGAGCTCACTGTGTTTGCCTTCCCACCCAGGACCCACCACACTTTCCAATTGTGAAGTCAATCACCAACTACTGCAAAGAGAAGGAAGATGATATGAATGAACCATCACCATATTCTCACCTGTGTCCTGTCTCACCAGCATTTCCCTTAGACCAAATTCTCTGCATTTGGTCAAGAAAAGAAAACCAAGATGCGGGAGGCATTTGGTAGAGAAGGCTGCCATGAAAAGTCAAGACAATTTAAAAGTATTCCTGCTTCTTCTTTGGTTCTCCAATCTTCCAATATTAGAAGTTGGATTTTAGCAATCACCATTCTGGGGTGGTGAATGTCACCCTAAATTCCTTTAGAGCCACTGATAGACTCGAACCCACAGAGCGTAGAGTTAAAATGAAGTGTTCTTACCTGTCTGGGAATTGTCTCCAGAATCACGATGAATTCTGTGAATCTAAAGTTGTTCCAAAGTTTGGCAAAACAAGAAAGAGATTTTAAACATGGGATTTGTTGTCTTTATCAAACAGTTTAGTTAAAAATCTCCAAAGACTTCCAGAAAGCAAGACATTGCACAGGCAGTATGAATGATGAATGATGAACACCAAATGTAAGACTACAAATGCTGTATTCCTTTCTGATACTCAGACTGGCTGAGCCTAAGAGCAGGAAAGGACCTGAGGGACGCACTGTCCACGCAGAGTATCCAAATCTCCATTCTCAAGTTGATATGTTGCAGCAATGTAGAAAGACAAAAACTAGAACTCAATCTAAATTTTAATAGGATAATTTATAACCCATTTGTTTCAGACATGTTCTAATAAAATTTTTCTATAATATAATTGTAACCTAAATTTAAGCCTAAGATTAAAAAAAAAAAAACCTTCCTAAAAAGTTCTCCAAATGCTCAATTACAGATGGAGTCAATTTATGAATTGTTTCTTCACAATGAGGTCTCAACTTTAGGTGCCATTTTGTACTTAGCTCTTTCTCATTATCAGATTTGTTTTGTGTTAATGATTTTGTGTTAAGGTGCAATAAATATCAGTTGATTGACAAAAATGAAGTCATTAACACTAGAACAATAAATATGCTTTCTTGAGGGTTCTGTATTTCTTGTTTATAACCAGCAAGACGCTGCTGGCGGGCACATACTGTCCTGTCACACTTATTATCACAGTTTCTCTGCTAAATCCACCTTCTAGCCAGGGTTCAGAACATTCACCCTTCGCAGCTACTCAATGCAGGGGTGAGGTTAACTTGGAAAATAAGACAGGTGAGTGGGAGGGTGGAGAGGGGGAACCATCTGTGGTGGAAGATTAGTGTGGCTTAGCAATATCTCATATGCACTAGACACAAGCAAAATGTCCCAGCTTCACTGAACCACTGAAAAATAATCAGGTAACCAAGGTGTTAAAATGAGGCTTCACTGAACTCTTCTGCTCAGTCTGTTCCACTCAATGGCAGAAACAGTGACTTACCCTTGTGCTATCTCAGGCAGAATGTCACTCTGGGCTGTTCACTCAGCTATCCCATAATAATGGGGCCTTTTTATTTCTTCTGTGAATAATTGTTTTACGTTTTCCTTCAGGGGTGATGACCATATGCTACAAAGCTATTAAGCATAGTGTCAATTTTTTATACTGTACCAGACAAGTAAAACTTTTGCCTTGTTTCATTTTCTCAATCAGCTTGAGCTCAAGAGCAAGTAATCTTTAAATGCTTAGCTCTTCTCTCTGAATCAAAATATATCTTTCCTTTAGGAGCAAACGCCCATGGCTTCTCACATAACACAAAACCAAACCTCCTTTCTCATTTTTCATAGGCCAATGGGCCAACGGTGGAGCTCCCATGACTTCAGTGTGGGCTTTGTGTTCTGTCTGGAGTGGAGCCAGATGGAGCCCAAAGTTCAGGAGTCCTGCTTTGGGGGTGGAAATGTGCCCCAGCCACTGAGGGGGACAAGAGGGAATGAGGAGGGGTGGGGACAAGAGGGAATGAGGAGGTGTGGGGACCATCCGTTTAGGTGGCTTTGGCCCATCTTTCTCCATATATGTTTTGACTTGGCACTTTCTAAGCTGAATGTGCTGCTCTCACATTGGCATATCTGCCTTTCCATGGGCTCTGTGCCTCCTGACAACAGCAGAGGTCAGAGACACTCCTTGCTTCTCAAGTGGAGATTCTTTGAGGCTGTAGCAGCCTCTGTCATCAGGATCCTACATAGTGAATCACTCCATGAAGCTCTGTGCCAAGGGTAGTGCTGGAAGACCTTTCTCCTGTCACACCGCAGCAGTGTTAGGTGTTTAATTAAAGCTCTCTGATTATCTATGGGCCTTTCCTGAACATCCCATTTTACACTAAAGATTCACTTGGATGACAAAAATCTCTTAGAATAAGAATTTCCTCTAGAGATCCAAACCTACTGCCATTTAACACGTAGTTGAGCTCACTGAGAACACAAATGTGGTGGGCAGTGGGGAGAGGTGTCTGGCTTGACCAGTGTGGGCCAGGAAGAGGGGCAGGCTTCACCCATGGCAACGGCCATCTCATACATGACTCCCAAGTGCTGGAAGCTGTGCATTTGCAATGCCATCCTGGGCAAGGGGGAAGCGCCACCATTCTTTTGGCAAGACAGGGAAACTGAGGTTGAAAGAGATCCAGTAACTTTCCTACGTCACCACACAGTGCTCAAACCACCGTCTCTGTGGCTCTAAAGCAAGTTGTTCTCTACAGAGAGACTCCAGAAGGGATGTCCCAGGCCCTGGTTTGTTAAGTTGGAGCCAAAGAAAGCATCTCCTGGATCAGTGCAGGACATCCATTTAGAGTATCATTTTCCCTGAAATTTTGGGGAAGATGTGAATTTTCTTATCAAAAGATTTTGACTGTGATGGCATACGTCTGTAATCCCAGCCACTTGTAAGGTGGAGTTAGGAGGATCATGATCGGAGGCCAGCCCTGAGAAAAGTGAGACCCTATCTGAAAAACTAAAAGCAAAAGGAGTGGGGCATGGCTCAGGTGGTAGAGCTTTGCCCTGAGATCAATCCAGTATTGCCCCCATAAAAAGGTTTTGTCACATGTATGAAAAAAGCAGAATTATTCAGTGTTCAGGCCATTCTCTCTAGAGTATGTTGCTTGTTTTTCCTCTTGTAAAGCTGAAAGCACAGAATACTTGCGTGAGTAGAAACAACTGGGAGTGAGGACACTGGGTGTTACTGGAGAACCAGAGGTTTTGAAAGCATTAAGGTTTTTGCAACATGGAGTCTGCCATCCTTGGCCTGAGCTCTATCCGAGCTCAAAGCTGTGATCTCCCAAGTTCTTGGAGATGTGTGTGTGTGTGTGTATGTGTGTGTGTGCGTGCACGTGTGTGTGTACGGGGATCATAATTATGCTGTCCTTGTGCTAATGCCTTATTTACAAACACCTGATTATGTGTAACTCTAGCTGGTGCTATCTTGTTTTTGTTTTTGCAGTGCTAATTATGTTTAACTCTAAAAAAACACTACAAATTCTGGGTTTGTACACATGATTTCAGGGTCATTTGTTTCCTAAAGAATAATCATTTAGCATGGAGGCATGGCTCAAGAGGTAGAGCACTTACCCAGCAAACACAGGCCCTGAGTTCAAACTCTAGTACTGTCAAAAAATTTATTTAAAAAATTGTATTGTCTCCACACTGAAGAGACAATGTCTAAAACAGTGAAGAAATTTTTTTGCAAGGATGAAGAACTGGAATGCTCACATGTTTGAGGAAGTATGAAATTGTACAGCTACTCTGAGAAAAGGTCTGGCAGCTTCTTATAAAGTTAAACACATACCCATCCTATTACAGCTGTACCCCAAGTTGTTAGCCAAGGTAAACAAAGGCATTTATTCACAAAAAGACTTGTCCAAGAATGTTCAAAGCAGCCCAGAGCTGGAAACAGCCCAGGGTAGCATTAACAGAGCAAGTGGCACACTACAATAGCTTGGTACAAAGGAATACTCAGTAATGAAAAGGAAAAGGTTACTGATACTACAACACAGATAAAACTCAAAAACATTACAATGAGCAAAAGAAGCCAAACAACAGATCACACACTTTGATGATGCTCTAACTGACCCATGGTTAAATAACTCAGGGAAGTGGTTCCCTCTGGGGGCATACAGGGCTGGGGTGGTAGTAGGGATAGGTTACAAAGAGAACTTTGGAGAAGGTAAGGTTTCCATCAACAGTCACTTCAATTACCTAAGGAAGATGAGTGGCATTGGTAGAAATGTCTGTCATTATTGAATGACAAAGTAAAAGTATCAGATATTACAGTAAAATTACCAGCTATCTCAGTACGGATGCCTGGGGGTCATCCCTGATGTTTCTTTTCTTTCCTCCCCATGTCCAATCCAACATCTAATCCTGTCAAATTACCTTTCTAAACACCACTGGGATCACCCACATCTCTCCATCTATCGGCAGGACGCAGGCTACCATCAGCTCTCATCTGAACTCAGCAATACCCCCCAACCTAGTCAGTTCTCAATTCTCAGTCTGTGTAAACCTGCAAAACTATACATGCAATCCTGTCATCTTCCTGCCTAAAACTCACACTTCACTGGGTGTGGTGGCTCATGTCTGTAACCCTAGCTACTCAAAAGGTGGAGATCAGGAGGATCACAGTTGGAGGTCAGCCAAGGCAAAAAGTCTACAAGACTCTATCTCAACCAATAACTGGGTGTGATGGTGTACATCTGTCCTCCCAGCTACCCAGGAAGCATAATAGGGGAGGATCACAGTCCAGACTGGCCCAGGCATAAAGCAAGACACTATCTTAAAAATAACCAAAGCACAAAGGGTTGGCTGCATGGTTCAAGTGGTAGAGTGCCTACCTAGCAAATGCAAAGCCCTGAGTGCAACCCTTAGCACTGCCAAGAAAAAACAATTACAATTTTCCATTGGTCTTAGGGTCAACTCCATATGGAAGCCTGACGATGAGACTCTGCAATGTGGTCTGGCCACTGCCAGCTCTCCCGCTGCACAACTGATTCCTGCCCCACTCTGCCCTGAGCCTACATCCACAGGTCATATCATTCTCCGTTCCATTCCTCTAACTCCCCATTGTCTTTTATTACCACATGGTTTTTGTACATGCAGCTCCTCTGTTTTGGAAGCTTCTCTTCTCTCTTTTCTTTGCTCATTTGTCTTCCAGATCTTAGCTCAGATGTGATTTCCATAAGGAAGGCATCCAGATATTTCCTGTTCGTTCCAGCTCCTTATGAGGTGAAGCCCTTCTGTCATATATGCTCTCTCTCAAGTTTTTTTCTTTTCTATTGCATATATTAATTATACAAAATAGTAGTTTCATTATGACATTTTCATTCATGTGTATAATACACTAGTAGGTTTTGTCCCAGAGGTCTTAGATGTTGTGGTCGTGATTTTTCCTTTTTTCATTGCTGTCAAATGTACAATGCCTTCCCAAGCCAACC